CTTGTCAGCCCTTTGATGACCCCTTGCAGCCTGGGGGCCTCAAGCAACTGCCTGCCTTGCCTGTTGGCATGCAGCGCCTCTGGAAATATGGTCCTAACTCCCCAAAAGGAACTAAAATCTCCCTTTCTCCTATTTTGAATTAAAGAATTAAGGCTTGATGTGCATCAAACAGTGTTTTAACACATCTGGATCTAATGTAAATTATTTAGTTCTGGTTTGAAGATTTTTTTATTGTAGTTTTTAACTAAATCAGTTAATCAAATTAACTAATCAAATGCAGAACAAGACTTTTCTAAAGATGAGTTTTTACAGACTTTTTTTTACCTGTTTTTAACTGATCAAGTCAGAAGAAATGGTGAATTCAGTCAGACTGATGAATATTATTGACTTTCAGGGCTTCTGTTTAACGATAGTTACATAGAAACTGTGATTGATTATTTTGCAAAGCCTAGTTTTTCTTCACTAACATTCTTCATGCTGGCTTAGACGAAATGTGTTTCGGACCTTTTATGATCTACATTGGATGGAACCCAACCTGGTACTTTGTTGCAAAAAGAGAAGAGTGTGATAACTGGTTTTGCACAAGTCTGCCAGCATCAAACAGTCCGCAGCACAGTCTTGCAGATCCTTTAAGGGTGACAAAAAAAATAGTCATAATAATAAAAACATTTTCTATTTTATTTAGGGATGTTGTTTTTTATTTAATGATGCACCGATATGAAAATTTGGGGCCGATACCGATATCTGATATTAATATCACTGTTATGGCCGATAACCGATATTTTCCAATACCAAGATACTGACATTAATGCTTCTAAAATCAGCAGATTTTGTATAGGATGAAATTTAATTAAGCTGAATTTATGTTAATATGTACACACACCACACACATTTACGGTTCTGACATGATTACATTCGCTGTTCACATGACTTAACAAATACACATCACCCCCCTCACCCTCTGAAACAGGCAAACAAATGGAGACAAGATGGAAAAAATATGGATTGTTAATATCGACCCGGTTTTATTTATCGAACCGATACCAATATGTTGAAAAATGACTAACATCGGTCGATGCCGATGTTTTTTTTATTATAATTGGCTGATATTGGCATCAAAATGTAATAATGGAAAATGTTGGTATTGGTTTTTACTTTTTTAACAACACAACTTTTACCATACCATACAGGGAGACTAAGTCACACTCATCTACTTCCGGACCATAGGTCCCCGGAAAAATGAGAAAATGAATGTAAGCCAACGGGGCTAAAAACACTATTTTCCAATCCCGTTTGTGATGTGCCATGGATTTCACACGACGTCCATGAATTTTAAAGACACATTCCGATGCCAAGAAAGCGCATATTTTCAAACGGGAGCAAAAAGTTATTTTAGGTTTTGTGTGAAAGTACGTCCAGGAAGACAAATGTGCATCACCAAAGGGACGTCATTGAACCAAACATGGACAAAAGCAGAGAAAAAATTGTTGTGAGTTTAGCAAACTTTGAATCCTTTTTCCAGGAGGAAAGAACCACCATAAATCTGGCTAAGTAGCAGCTACGCTGGGGCAGAGGAGATTCTGTGGTGACGTTGTATTAGTGACATGCCATATCTCATAGGAATTAAAAATTTATATGATAAATCTCTAAGTACGTTACAGGCATGGTCGAAACGCATCATTACTTTTTATTTCATTTGAAATACAACATATGTGTGATACAGGGCGAGAGGCAAAGCGGATTAGAAAATAGCTCTTTTAGCCCCGTTGACTTGCGTTCCTTTTTTTCGTTCTTCCGGAGACTCGTGAGCCGACTGGAAAGGGAGGAGACTAGGCTTCCTATACACATATTATACATCAAACCCGTCAGCTACTTGTCCTCTCACTCAAAATATCAAAATATGATGAATCCAAAGTATAGTTTTTAGGATATTGTTGCTTGTTTGGCATAATTGATTTAACTTAAAGTATATTTTGCACAGATAATGTTTAAAGTTTAAGAATGTATGATGTGATTTTTATGAGGGAAAAGCTCTGCCTATTTTATTGTGGATTTATATCAGTATCAGATATTAAGAGTTGGATGGTATCGGTTTAGTTGTCTGTAAAAAAAGGCAGATATCAGCAGATAGCAGAGGGCTGTGGGTGCAAGTGGGGTAGTGTGGTGGCATCAGCTGGCGCAGGCCAGACGATGCCTGCACTGCCCGCTCACCACAGCCATGGAATACACTTCATCAACACACACTAACACTATATTGGAGCAGGCGGAGGAAGACTAGGGGTCTTAGCACACCTGTTGTCACTTGGCTTCCTGGGGCTGGAGGCTAGGAGGGAGATCTGGCCGTCTGGTTGGGGTCTGGGGTGGTGGGTTGCTGTGCTCGGCGGTGGGCGGGGGAGCCTGCTCATCAGCACCCCAGCAGAAAGGGTCAAACTCTGGTTACCGGTGATGGTTGTACCCAATGTGCAGCAGTACCGGGACCAGAGTGAATAGGGTGTGTATGGGGAGCATGAGTGGGTGTCCGGCGTGCATTTTTGTAAGTCTTTGGTTGTATGTGTATGTGTGAGCATGAGGGAGGGAGTGTGTGACTGTGTTTGTGTATGACTGTATATGTTAGGTGGGGCGTTTGACTCTTCCCTTCTCCTGGGACTTCTTTTGATGCTATACATCTTTGTCTCCCCTCCCCCTGCCACACCTGGTGTGGAGTGTGGTGCCTTGGTCTGCCTGAGTGTCCGTGGCTCCCGGGTCAGGGGTGTACAGGATGAGTTGTTTACATCTTATGAACCATAAAATGTGAGATTCCATAGAAATATGAAATATCAATCTGATGGATCTTTGAATATTTTAACCAGAAGATCAGAACTTTTTATTGCAGGGATTAAGCGACACTTCGTATTAACTCAGAGGAAAGAAAGAGAGTCAGGCTTATAATAGTTAAGAAATTTATTTCTACACAATTTAAACAAGACTAAGTTTAACACTCTGTGTACTGATGGACTAAGGTGGAGTGAGACGTGATGAATGATGATGTGTGTGTGTGTGGAATGTTATTATCAGAACCAGCGGATCCGGAGAAGCATTTAGTTCTGAGTGGGAGTGAATGTTTCACTCTAAACTTTAGTAGGAGATTTATAACACACATGAGACACCATCTATCGGTCTACGTACCCAGGGGAAGCCTCCGATTAGATCCAGAATGTCGAGGTCCTCTTGGACCCTCCTTGGACCCTCCTTGGAACCGAAGCTGGTAGAAAAGCAGCGGTGCCGACCAAACTAGTCTTGAAATGCTTCCAGGTCACGACAGGTTATCATTGGCGTCAGCGAGACCCTGAAGGGGTCGTGAGGTTCAGCTTTTATTCTGAAGGAACCGTTGCGGTCAGATGTAACTTGCAACAGATTTTATCCAACTTGTCGAGGTTCATTTGGCTGAAGAGGAAGTCCGGATGGCCCGTCCGAAACTTCTCCAGAATGCTTGAACTAAAGAAAAGGTGGCGTGGAATAGTTTTTATAATTGTCATATTTTGGTTTACTGGCAAATCAGAATTTGACATGCAAAAGAGGGTTTATACAAACACCACAGAAAACCATGCCTTGCTTCAGAAACGAAGGTTCTGATTGGGTCAGACAAAAGGAAATGTGTCGTGTGACTTTAGCATTACGTGTCATTAGTGTCTAATGCAAATGTCCAGGATCATAATTACTTGTAAAATACTACTGATCACAGGATTATAATATCAAGTAATAACATTGTCATTTCACAGATTGATGGATCATAGGGCTCAGATTATTATTGGCAATAACAAACGTTGTTTGATTATGTATTTATCAAAATAGTTCTCTGTCTTCGTCTTGAGCTGTAACAGAGGTGAGGCAGTTCAGATGAGCAGAGTGCATGAAAGACCTTGGCCAATATCTCATGTAGATTTGCCTGTCAGTGACTTTATGTCTCTGCTTGAGCAGACGCAACAGATCATGTCAAAAACAGGACATTCATGACGCTACAGGGGGTTTAAGATTTTTGGCATCTGCCTGATCAGTCCCGGTGGATGCCTGGTGGGATCTGGATCCCTGGGCTCTGCTGGGTCCCCAGCGAGGGTGGTCGCCCCTGGGTCCCGGGTCGCTGGGTCCCAGGCTCGGCTGGCTGGGGGGTGGGAGGCTGCGGGCGGGCCCGTGGGCTTGCCGCTGATATCTCCCGGGACTCTGCTCACATTATCACTCTGCTGGTTGTGGCCCCCCGGGGCGATCCTCTGCGCCTCTCGAGGGGGGCTAGGGCTTTTCTGGTTGCGGCCTCCTTGGGGTCCCTGTGCTCTGGGGCAGCTCCTGGATCTCTGGGACTTGGAGCTCCTTCCATCTCCTACACATCTTTGGGGGCAGATCTGTGGCCCCTCACACTCACTATTAGACTCTCCTATAGAGCAACCTTACATATACAAGCATGTGTACACACACAGGTGCTCACATGGTGCTCTCGTAAGTATAGACGTGGGCATGTTCAACACATGTCTTAAGGCTATGGTGGGCACTAAATGCACTGTGATTTATTAACGCGTGATTGTTCAGTAAAACAATGCTGATTTTATATTTCTTCATCAAGTTGACACAGTGATAGCTTGCTCCTGTTGTATTGTTGGTTGTCCCTTTTCTGCAGGTCTAGAAGCAGACTCTCATCATTGATTGTTTACTTTCGTGACCCCCCCCCCCCCCCCCCCCCTCCTCTTTTCTCTTTCACCTCTGTCCGGTCGAAATTACAACGCATTCAAAAAACAATAACAATAAAGTTTTAAGTATCAGGCGTGGCATTAAAAGCAGATGCTTTGATGCTCCACCTGAGAGTAAATCTGTAAGGCTTGTTACCAGCATTCAGACATTAATTCTGTTTGCTTCACAGCCAGACAGAACATGAGGAAAAAAAGAAGCAGATATCAAACCTTCCTAAGTTAGAGGGAAACCTCACTTGTCAGATAAGAGTGCAAGAATGAGAAGATGCATTTTCCTATTTATACATTTATATAAGTAAATGTCTGCTTTTTAAAAATAATTATTATTATTATTGCTTTGCAGATTGGTGGAGGCCACAACATCAACTTTCTAGTGACCAAAGTAGCTGCAGGAACGATAAAGGAGTCACGCGAGCTTCGGATCCAGCCTTTCAACGAGTACAGGAAACGTTTCAACCTTGAGCCCTACACGTCGTTTAGAGAGTTTGCTGGTAAGACACATGGGTTTGTGTGTGTGTGTGTGTGTGTGTGTGTGTGTGTGTGTGTGTGTGTGTGTGTGTGTGTGTGTGTGTGTGTGTGTGTGTGTGTGTGTGTGTGTGTGTGTGTGTGTGTGTGTGTGTGTGTGTGTGTGTGTGTGTGTGTGTGTGTGTGTGTGTGTGTGTCTTTAGCCCACACATACATGGAAGTACAGATGTGCATAAATGACTTTACAGATGTTTTTCTGCATCTGTGGGAACAATGGACCTTGGATCTGAGAGTAAAACAGTTTTCCTCTGCTTAACGATTTAAAGCAACAGTAAATGGTTTCAAAATGTTTTATTTGTACCACACTTGTGACAATTTGTGAAACTGAATAAAACCTGTGAGAGTCAAAAAGCCAGATTACGTTTATCTTTAGAAGATTTAATTAAACATCTGAGAAAACACGTGGGACTGCCTGCAGATGTTAGCTGTTGCTGCCTGGGTGCGCAACTTCCAAGCATGCAGAATTTTCCGTCAGCATGGAGAAGCTGTTTCTGGAAAAGCCTTCTGTCTGTGCACTCATAGGAAAAACACATTAAAACAAATGAAGGAGAGAAGTTACGTTGCGGCTAAGCACTCCATTGGGAAAATGATTTGGTGAAAAAATAAACCACATTTCATTCTCATTAAAATATTTAATGCAGCACATTTAAAAATATTCCACTAAAACTAAAATGGTGAGGAAATCTCAGCAGGAAGTAAAGGTTTAACTTGGGATCAACTCCAGTCTCTAAAATGTCAAAGCAGTTCATGCTAATTGTATTTATAAACGATAGCACAAGTTATTTTTCTCATTATATGGTTATTCTGGACTTTAAATTCCACTCTGGTTTTACTCCAAACACTCTGGAAGTGCTACATTTTGCTGCTGCTGGCTGCAACAACGGTTCATCCATTCAGTATCTGACGTTTATCCGGGGTCGGGTCGTGGGGGCTGCAGCCTAAGCAGAGAGGCCCAGACTTCCCTCTCCCCAGCTACTTGGACCAGCTCCTCCAGGGGAATCCAAGGCGTTCCCTGGCCATAGTTCCTCTGGCGTGTCCTGGGTCTTCCTTTAGGTCTCCTCCCAGTTGGACGTGCCTAGAAAACCTCACCAGTCTCGATGTGGAGGAGCAGCGAATCTACTCCAAATCCCTCCCGGATGACCGAGCTTCTCACCCTATCTCCAAGGGAGAGCCCAGTCACCCTGCAGAGAAAACTCATTTCGGCCGCTTGTTTCCACGATATTGTTTTTTCGGTCTCTACCCAAAGCTTGTGATCATAGGTGAGGGTTGGAATGTAAGTCGACCGGTAAATTAAGAGCTCTCGATTTACCAAACAAGCAGCATTTTTTAAAATTGGAAGAGTTGCTGGTGAAGCTGAATAGAAGGAAAAGAAAATAAGCTGTTCACACTGATTTAAAATAGACAGAAATGGCAAAAGTGTTACAAAAGTCCCGCCACAGAGCCATAATTCAGAACATTTTGTGATCCTGTACAGAGCCCGTAAAAAAATGGTGCTTTTCTGGTTTTACATCACACAGCTACCCTCATGGTCCCCCAAATCTATTCGATTGAAGCGCAGAATAAGATTTGGAATGTTGTTAATGTCCATTTTGTGCTGATCAGTTAGCCTGGCCTGCCAGACTCATCCTCTGTTTAATTCTGCACAGAGAAAGAGTCTGGGAACTCTCCTATCCAAATAACCCCACCCCCTGAGAATTCTAACCGAGCCAATCAGCGCTGAGTAGCGTACGCCACACACCATAACGCCGAGTTTGTCGAACATGGAGACTGAAGCGGAGTTCGCTGCTGCTCTTTCCTTTGTTCTAAATGACTTGGACACGTCTTTAAAACAACAAGTAGAAGCACTAAAAGCCTTTCATCTAAAGACAGGTGTTTGCGCTGTCACCCGACGCCATTTTTAACTACAGCTAAAAAACGACAGCGTCGCGGACGTCACACACAACGAAGTTCATTTTCTCATAAACAACTAAGACAGCGGCGGAGTTCGCTGCGGCTCTTTCCTCTGTTCTAAATGACTTGAATGTCTTTAAAATCACAACAAGTAGAAGTGCTAAAAGACTTTCTTCTAAAATAATAAAATAAAAGATGTTTGCACCGTTGCCAGACGCCTTTTATTACTACAGCTAAAAAACTACAGCGTCGCGTGGTGCAGTCTGCATTTCAGTCTTTTTTCTGATTGGTCATTTTTGAGCTGCCTTGTCCCGCCCCTCATGTGCCTCTCAGCATGTGAGTTACTAGACTCTTTCTCTGTGCAGAATTAAACAGAGGAGGAGTCTGGCAGGCCAGGCTACTGATCATGGACGTAATTTTCACTTGAGAAGTGGGGGGGACACGGGGGGGGAGGGGTCTTTACAGTATGCTCTAATGGGAAACAGGTTTCAACACAAGCAGCTGTTTTCCGCTTGGTCTTAGAGCTCAACCAGTGTCAATTTAATATAGCGTAATATTGTTTATGGATGGTAAAAAGTGCAGGGGTCAAAACTTGATTTTGGTAAAAGTGGGGGGGACATGTCCCCCCTGTCCCCCCCCAAAATTACGTCCATGCTACTGATCAGTGACAATGCCGATGTGTCGCGATATGCTGACGTCAAGCAAAGTCTTGAAAGTAAGGAGACACAACTGACAGGAAGAAGCCATTGTGTTTTCCCAGTTACCTTTCCCCCTCCCAGAACTCCTAAAGTAGAAACACGGGTATTGAATGCAAACTCTATTTCTCAGAACAGAGGCTGTTTAGGAAAGATCTAGCTTAGGTAATAACATCATGATTTATAACTGATCTGCCATGTACCTAAAGTGGAAAATATCCTGCAAAAAATTTACGGATAATTCTTAATGCACTTGTATTGTCAATGTTTTGCAGATAACGAGGAAATAGCCAACACACTCGAAGAGCTCTACGGTGACATTGGCGCCCTTGAATTTTACCCCGGACTACTTTTAGAGAAAACGCGGCCAGGGGCCATATTTGGAGAAAGCATGGTGGAAATGGGTGCCCCATTTTCTCTTAAAGGCCTCTTGGGTAATCCCATATGTTCTCCAGATTACTGGAAGCCCAGCACCTTTGGAGGCAAAGTCGGCTTCGATATTGTAAACTCTGCCACCCTGAAGAAGCTGGTCTGCCTGAACACCAGGACATGCCCTTATGTAGCATTCAGAGTTCCAACAGAGGACTCATTAAGGAAGAATGGTGAGAAGGTTCATCCTGATGAACTATGACCGTGGGCTGACCCCAGAGGGTTACTGCTTCTACAGCTCTATATGAAGGTAAAACGGGCACATCAGTGCTTGTTTTAGCAACACTGGAGAGTTCAATAAAACTCAGAGCTCCACACGAATTCCAACTCGCCTTATCCTTAAACTCGCTCAGTCTGTCTCACACTTGAACAAACATTGGGGAGTCAAACATCTGGTTTTTCTTAAAGGTTTTATCTCTGAAGAATGAAACACTGTCCAAGTTCACACTGTCTAGTAATAAAGGTGTTTTTTATGACTTACATTTGGCATGTCCATTGTTCCGTATAAGTTCTGATTATCCATTAGACTCTGTTCCAATCTGCTGGTACCTTATCTGTTATTTCTTTTGGCTCACAGCTGATGGAAACAGGCTCACCCAATCCGGCTGAACCGTTTCTTTTGTGATTCCCGTAAAACAGAAATATCAAAACATTTTGACATCTTGAAATATTTCAGGGAGCTGGGATCTGTAGGTAAACAAATGGATCATAAATGTCTGTAGAAAACATATAAAACCAAAGACGAGATGTGATGTTTGCTTTGTGTTCTTGGAAAAGATTAAAGTTCTGTGTTTTGTTTTTAACAGGTTGGTGAGTGAGTCCATATCCTGTTATTGTCTCAAACTTTGTACAAATATTTGTTTTTAGAGGTAGAAACTGCATTCAAAGAGCCAGATTTCCTCCCGATTATTGTGAATTCTAGTTTAAATTATATTCCACATGTAAGATATTATGTCATCATACTGTCATCTAGTGGAGAATGTCAGAAATGCACGTCTGGAGTTGCGTGTTGCCTTCAGAATGTTTCATAAAACAACCTGGAAAGGTAAGCGTGAACGAAAATTCAATATTAATACAACAATGTAAAAAATACAATATAATATAGTATAATAGTAAAATTGTTTTTGGTATAATTTTGTAACGATAAGAAATAAAACAAGCTGTTTGCTTTCTTGTCAGTAAGAAACTGGAAGGTTTTGGTTTTTATACGTCAAACTGAAACGAAATAGTGAATTTACTTGTTGAGCATGAAGCTCAGTGAGAAAAACTCTAAAAGGGTTGCCTTGTAGATCTAATGATGAGGTTTTAACAAATTTTAAACCCAGACGTGTTTATGAAAATGTGAAATAAAAGCTGGGATATATTTAATCAGCCATAGCTTATTCCTGCTTACATGTAGCAAAATAACCAACATTCATTTGTATCATTACAAAAACAGGTCCTTCTGTGGCCTAGGGGTTTGTTTATCTGGGCCTTCTGCCAGCAGCCTTCTGTCTCTCCCTCTATTTCCTTTTCATCTGCTTCATATCCTGCCTCCTGCTCTTAGAGACGACAAAATCTGAATAAATGGCAGAAAAAGGAGTTCACAATAAATCCAGGTTTTACTGTGATAATGAAAGCAATTTAAAACAATCCACGTCATATTGTGTAGCTTTCTAACTTATGTGGGAATTATGATAATGTGTGGTAAGCTGCCCTTTGCTGTTATGCTTTTGTCTGCTATAGTGGTGTTCTAACAGCATGGCTCAGTAAAAAGAACCACCTTTTTTGGCTCTCAAACCGCTACTCGCATCTTTTAAGACAAGGAGGCTGAAATGATCTATTCTAAATGGCTAAAATGAAATAGGTGCACTTACAGCAAACAGCCACTGGAGGGCAGCATTTTCCCACCTTCTCTTTATTCCTTACTGCTGTTTTTAGGCCAGCACAGGGCGCAAATGTCCCATTCTTTTAAGGAAAAAAACAGTGCTTTCTACTAAGGAAGTCTTTTATCTTTACCAACACAGGTTCATCTCCTTCAAATCCTCCTCCTTCTCCTTCATAATATCATAATTCCCAAAATGTTTATTAAAAACATTACGATTTTTTAAAGCTTCATTAAGACAAGGAGGCTGAAATGATCTATTCTAAATGGCTAAAATGAAATAGGTGCACTTACAGCAAACAGCCACCGGAGGGCAGCATTTTCCCACCTTCTCTTTATTCCTTACTGCTGTTTTTAGGCCAGCACAGGGCGCAAATGTCCCATTCTTTTAAGGAAAAAAAAACAGTGCTTTCTACTAAGGAAGTCTTTTATCTTTACCAACACAGGTTCATCTCCTTCAAATCCTCCTCCTTCTCCTTCATAATATCATAATTCCCAAAATGTTTATTAAAAACATTACGATTTTTTAAAGCTTCATTAAATGAACTACTAATCTACAAACAGACATTATGCCAAATCTATAACTTTTAGTAGACAAACACATACTTTCATTTGCAGCAGCTTAATCTATGTCTCAGAGGTCATGCTGAAAATTTTTTATTCCATCATTCTGACCGCAGGGTTAAAAATTTGGTCATGAACAGCTTTTTTTTCATCACTTTCATTTTTGAAATAAACATTCAACATCAGTATATTTTCATTTATTCACTTTAGAGTGCCCCAGTAAACAATACAATTGAGAATGCTGCCCCAGTGTGCTAATATAATAATGCTATAACGCTCAGATGGGAATCTTTTCATGGTTGGTTTGTCACCTCCACAATGTTCTCTGTGTGTGGTGTTTACATCTGCACACTTGCATGAGACAGGGATGTTAATTACAATCTGTCAAAATGACTGACAGCCTTCAGATTTCTTCGTCACCATTAAAAAATGATCAAACACGGAAAATATCCTGCTATTGACAGCGTGTGCAGGCCAGAGCCTTTTGTTGTCACAAAATAAACAATCAATGATGAACAAGAGTCTGCTTCCAGACCTGCAGAAAGAGAAACACAAACAAAAAAGGGACACACAACAATACAACAAGAGCAAGCTATCACTGCGTCAACCTAATGAGGAAATATAAAATCAACATTGTTTTACTGAACAATCACACGATATTAAATCACAGTGCATTTAGTGCCAACCATAGCCTTAAGACATGTGTTGAAAATGCCCAAGTCCACACTTATGAGAGCACCATGTGAGCACCTGTGTGCATACAGCTTATTTTTAATAGACTAGCCAGCCGTTTACAGATAAGTATGTTTGTCCTACTTCTCAGTTAAGTTCTCTGTTTCCATCTTGTAACAGCTCAGATGTCTATCATCATAAAATGTGCTTTTAAACCACTGATAGTGTTTGAATATTACTTATTAACACAATAAACTTCAAGAAAATAGAATTTCCAGAACAAATACATTTAGATAAGCAAAACCCTAAACAGAACATGTGTGGAAAACAACACTGTTTGTACAATAAGATTTTTAGTCTCTATCTGTATTTGTACTACTACTACTACTACTACTACTATTATTATTATTATTATTATTATTATTATTATTATTATTATTAGTGTGATTTCACTGAAGCGTCAAAATCAGTGCATGGTTCTAAAGCAGTTTTAGGGTTACTTTATGAAAAGCATCCTGATGGACAATCCAAGGACAATCTTTTGGATTTCTTTAACAGTTGGATTTCCAGGAATTTTTTTCGTTCTGCTTTGCAATCCCTTCTTGATGAGGCCAAGTTCACCCATTAGATGGATGTTGTTGTCTTCATCCCTCACATTCTTGCAACTTCTATTTCCAGGTATTTATACTTTGATAGCTTCTCAAGCTCCTTAAGGTTGAAATTTTTTTCAGATGGGATGGTCAAGCCATCTTCTATTCTTTGTTCTTACTTCTTAGTGGTGATGTCCATGATTCCTCTATCTGTATTAATTGGCATGTCCCATAAAACTGTGACATTGTTTTCAGTCACTGTTGGTGGTTAGTGTTCCCACCACTCATCTGCAGGGGATAGATGAAAATGCTTGCAGCTCTTCCAGTGGATGTAGCTTACTGCTTTGGCGTGCCTATGGATGTACTCTGATCTGGCTAGAGTGGGACAGCCTGACAGAATGTGGTCAATGGTTTCTTCATACTGGTTATCATTACTATTAACTTGTTTTACTGGTCATTTTCATGTTCATCTTTTGACATATTGTATTGTGGTAACATTTTAATAAAATACAAATAAAAAGAGAAAAAAAATTATAAAAACTAAACCACAAATTTACTCACATTTTCGTGTTTACCTGAATGCATCACAGTCGGAGGAGGCGTGACTTGCTAAACTGCAGATTACCAGTTTAACGCTAACAGGTTACGACGTGATAACGACACTTTTAACCAGAACTAAGGTAAGTAATTGTTAAACATGTATTAGCTGGTTAAAATGTAAGAGTTTGGACACACACGACAGTCTTTTCTTTTCGCTACGCGATGTTACTTCTCGAGTCTAACATCAAAACTATCTAGCTTCCCGGCTAACGCTAATCTAGCTAACTTTAGCAGAACAACCTATTTCTGTTTTTGTTCCACTTCACATATGATGACGATAAACGGATTATTTGTTTACTCTCTAAAAGTACTCGAGCTAGTAGCTGTTTGTTACTCAGTTAGCGAGACAGCTGGTGTATTTGTTGTGTCGGCAGAGGCCTTGTAGCTGTCATTTGCATGTTTAGTATAATAGACTTCACTCGTAGATGCGAAAATGTTATTGTTTTAAAACCAACGATGAAACTAAACAAAAGGGCTGAACTCCAGCTAGATGGGACGCGTCTCAGCTCCTTTGGGCTCTGCGGGGGGGATTTGTGGATTAGACGGTAACAGGCCTTTCAGTTTATGCTAGCCTGCCCTTTACAGCAAAGTATAGTGTCCTACTTTTCAGTTAAGCCCTTTGTTTTTCCTCTTATGACGCCATGGATGACTGTCATCAAAATAAAGTGCTCAAATTATCAAATAAGTGACAGCTTAAGGCTAATATTGTGTCATTTATGTATAGATTATTTGGAAAGGATGAAAATAATTCAATCTACTTATGTTATAGTGTTGTTACTCAGAATTTCTGTCTCATAGGCGAATTGCTGTCATGACAACTCTGGATGACAAGTTGTTGGGTGAGAAGCTGCAGTACTACTACAGCAGCAGTGAGGATGAAGGCAGTGACGATGAAGAAGAGGGAGGCAGGAGCACCATCCGTGATGCCAGCGCCAACGAGCCTGAGATCGACTACAGTGCAGACGGGAGTTCTGTCAACACTGGTAACATCACGGTCCTACTAACTTCTAATCTGGGCTAACGTGTTTGTCGACACAAACATTTTTGAATGTGATTGATTTATGTCATTGAAAGTTGAACTCGCAGAGTTTTTTTTAAATTATCTTGTCCTGTTTCATCACAGGACCGAAGGGCGTGATCAACGACTGGAGGAAGTACAAGCAGCTGGAGGTGGAGCAGAAACAAGAGCAGAAAAATGAGATGGAAAGACTGATAAAGAAGCTGTCGATGAGCTGTCGCTCTGACATCGATCTGCAAAAAGACCAAGAGAAGCAGAAGGAGCTGCAGGACAAAATCAAAGGGAAAGTAAGCAGGGAAAGGTTTTGCACACATTGTTAGAATAAAGTTAACCTAGATAATGCAATCAGATCCTCATTTAGATTACTTTGAGTTTATATAGTAAGGTGTGGATTTCCTAACCTCAAAGTTCTGCTGTGCTGACATTAAATGTGTTGAGCTGAGTTAGCTTTTGACATGCTGCATAATAACACCACCCCCCACCCTCTGTCCCAAAGATGACCATGCTGGAGTACAACATGCTCCAGGAAGACAAGGACGATGAAGACTTCCTCCAGCATTACCGTATGCAGCGCATCGAGGAGATGCGTCGCCAGCTCTGCCGCGGGAAGCGCTTCCAGCAGGTCTTTGAGCTCGGCAGTGGAGAGGAGTTCCTGGAAGCTTTGGACAAAGAGGACAAGAGCACGCTGATCATGATCCACATCTACGAGCCGGACATCCCGGGCTGCGAGGCCATGAGAGGCAGCCTGATGTGTCTGGCGCAGGAATACCCCCTGGTAAAGTTCTGCTGCGTACGAAGCTTGGCCATCAGCACCAGCACGCTGTTCAGAGAGAGTGCTCTGCCCGCGCTGCTCGTTTACAAAGGAGGAGACCTAATCGGGAACTTTGTGAGAGTCACGGACCAGCTCGGAGAAGATTTCTTCGCTGTGGACCTGGAGGCGCTGCTGCAAGAGTACGGCATGCTGCCTGAAAAGACCCCTGGTGTCCCAAAGACGGTTCGGAATGGAGCCATCATTCAGAGCACTGTGGGTGATGAGGACTCAGACCTGGATATAGACTAAAACATGTCTAGCATGCATTGGTTGACTCACACTCACACACACACGGCGTGTGGACTGTAAATATTTATTTGTGAGCACCCCCCTTGTAGTGATTGAAGCCTGTCTCACACAACAACCTAACTATTACTAAAGCAGAATGACACAAACACCAGATCGTTCCTTTATAAACATGAGTTACATTTATTCATAAACAATGTTTCATGTTACACACACACAGAATCCTGTCAGCTCTTTATTTATGTTGTCATGAAACATTCCTTAACTTTGTGTCATCTCTGCTGTTTTACCCACTTTTCACTCTTCTGAATTTAAAACCTTCAGCCTTTTAGTTTGTTTCGTAACTTTTATATGTGCCGTCAGATTTCCACTAGTGAATAAACTGTAACCTGTTTAGATTTACTGCTTCATATGTTGAGTTAAAACTTTTGCACATTTAGCAACATTTATTTGTCTTGTAGCCAGAAAAGGTTTTGTGCTAATGCTGAGATCTTCCCATCATTCTCAGTGTTTCCTCCACACTGGAGGGGCTGCAGGGGTCATTCAGCTTGATTTATAAACTAAAATGATTTATAACATTATTAGTTTAAATGAGAGGGATTTTGCTCATTCTAACTACAGAAAATTGAATAAATATTCCCTTAACTTGGGATAGACCAACATATCGCATCAGACGATATACCTCTTTAGTAGAGCTGATTTTAGTCGGGCACATCTGCAGGCAGCCCACTGCTGTAGCAGAATGTTATTTAAATATATTTACCTGCCTGAGATGCAGCTGCTTTATTAACCCTCTGATGCATGGATTATGAAATCTTCAACCAAGATTTTTTAAACAATTTTTTTCATTCATCTTTAGGTGTGAATGAAACAAATTTCAACAAATATTTTTTGTAACATTTTGTTAATTTACAAATAATTTATTACATGTCCATCTCAGTGGACAGCGTGCATTCTGAACATGGAATATGTTGGCTTGACTTACTGAAGTCCAAATGGAGGGGCTCAAATGCAATAAAGTCTTCAACAGCTGTGCTTAATAGCAAAAATAAAGAAATAACAATTTTGAGTACCTGTCCACTGTAGTGACCATTATGTATCAAAGGGTTAATGCTCTAAAACGTGACTGTAAACTGAAATTTATTTTATTTGGCTGTTTTATTTTTAATACTAGGTCGGTTTATTGATTTGTTTTGTTAACTTTGGTTAAATGTTTGATTAACAGAGCAGAGCACAGAATTAAGATTCAGTTCTGGTTCAGTTATGTGGTAAAAACTGATGTAGGGTCAGAAATGATACTATTAGTGACATATAAACACGTGAAAAACATCTAGATCTCATTCATGAAAACTGGCCCGAATAGGCCATCACCTGACCCCTGACCTCTGTGACAGTATCAGCAATAGAAAACCCTATATCGGTCGATCTTCACTTCAGACTTAATTGGATCTCTCTTAATTAGTTTTAAAACCAAAGCAGGTGTGTTGAGTAAACCTGACAGTGAAAACAGTTCATTTACGGATAGATCAACTAGATAAATGACACGATCTTTGTTGGACGACTGATCACAAGGAGGGATTATTTTAACGGTTTTGTGTTATCAATATCTTATTTAGAATTGGCTGCACGAAATTTAACAAATCACTAAAAATAAATGCTGTAATTACCAAAAGGAGACGTGTTTTAATACAGCCCGAGAGCTCGGCTCATCCCTCCTGTCGGCTGTAATCGCTCCGAGCAGAACAGGTCGGGTTGAGAGGGCGATGATCCCAGAGACAACAGATTAAAACTGCACAGTGATGTTTCTAATTTCATCCACTGGCTGTGAGACACAAAATTCACATTCCATGAAAGAAAATGAGCATAAAAGACAGCAGTGACAGTTCTGAGTTCAGGAGCAGCTGAGCAGCAGCATGGCAACGCAGGGGAACCCCAACAGCAGAAGGGATGCTCCATCATGGATCTGGGCAGCTGAGTCGGGGACATCATATCCACAAAAGACGTGCTCCAGCAGCAGGTGAGTTTCTGCACTGATGCCTGGCGTGGAGGAGGAAATGGCGTCATGTCAAAGCAGATCTGATCCTGAGTGAGCTTATTTGTGGGATATGCATGCACACACACACCAAGCTGTGACCATTCATCCCAGAGATGCTGGACGGCCTCGTCGTGCTTGCGATCTGGATCTGTGTGTGAAACACACACCAGCTTTGTTAGGATTAACGCCATGAAGCTAATTTATATTACATTTAGAAAGCCTGGATCAGCTAAAAAGGGTTAGGGTGAGATTCTAATAAAAATGTTTTAACCACTGATCACAAGTCTGAGTAACGTACTGTTCCCATGCTGCCAGAGCATCCGTTTGAGCTCCCGGAGGGCCTGAGTGAGGTTTTCCAGCTGGTCGTGGAGGTGAATGTTCTCCTCTATCAGGGCGTGGATCGTGTCCTGCAGCTCAAAGCTTTGACTTTTCAACACGAGGAAAGTCAAGGAGACCAAGAGAAGTGCCGGCTTCTGTCTCATGATGCTGCAAGGGCTCCGTCAGATCCTCCCCGACACCGCTGTCTCCATCTGGAAGTCTGAGTCCAGCGGTGATTGGTGTGGCATGTTTCATCAGCTTAGACTCCGCTAGGGAGGGGGTGTGATGATAGTTTGATCCCTAATTCCAAAGTCATGAATGGAAAGCCGCCAGCGGGCTGCTTTAAAATCTATCAAATGATTCTGCACCAGTGAGTCAAACAGATGGCCCGTTTGATTTAAAATGAGCTTATAACACAAACGGTGTAAAAAAGATGGATTCTGCATTTTCTGGGAGCAGCAAAACCAACAGTTAAATTTCCCAAAGCTGTTCGCACAGATCCATATGAAAGGGTTTGATTAGCTGCTGTTCATTCCTTTTAAAGTCAGGTTGATGAATGAGAAGGATAAATGAACTTTAGTCTCCAGAATCAAATGCAGGCTTTAAACGTAAAACCAAAGCTACAGACGAGCCTTTTTCCTCTAAAGCTAATGAGGATGGACCTGGAAATAGGTCAGTAAATCCAATCGCACACTTGCTGACCTATTTGGACTGAAAGCACAGCAGGAAATAAAAACACACCAAGGTGACAATTTTACGTCATTCCTCTACTGCCTTTGAGTCATTTCATCTTAAACCTGCTCAAGTAGTCTAATCTGCATGCAATTGTTAACATTTGAAACCATTATTCTCAAAAACTGTTAAAAACAAAAAACTCATTAGTAATCAAGACAGAGATTATCCAGGCAAAAAGCTTTTATTCAGTTTCCATCAGCTATCACTTTATGCTGTCTTGACAGCTCTAGTGCGCTTCTTTTTGACGACAACGGGCTTCTGGCTCTTCAGAATGGCACTGGCTCGACGCAAGGCAGCCTGGGAGTAGAAACTGAGTTAGCCTTCAAAATCATTAAATATTTATTTATTACATAAAAAAACAAATGGGTTAAACTCACCATGCGCAGGTCCCTCCTGTAATTGTTCTTACGGATGATGTGCCTCAGGCTGTTCAGAGTGGCACGGGAGTTCTTGTTGATGGTGACTTTTACATAAGATGAGGCAGGTTTGTGCTGGCCTGTGCAACAAGACAGATTCATCACTCAAACTCACCAATACTGTAAATTATATATATATATATATATATATATATATATATATATATATATATATATAGTCAGAAAAGCTCTGATGTCTGTTTCTTTGTGTTCTTACTCAGCAAAACAGCAACAAAAGCCAGCAATGAAGGAACTTAAAGACCAACTTCACCCATTACTTTAGTACATTAGCAGTGTTTTCTGCAGTTCATTCTCTGTGGGGAAAAAAGTTCTGGTGCTCCTGTTTCAGGAACTAAAACTGAGTCACAGCAGAGGGGAGCAGAAGATTTATGTTTATGTATTTAGCAGACGCTTTTGTCCAAAGCGACTTACAAGTGATAATCGGCATGTTGCCCTTGAGGCTAACAACAACAATAACAACAACTTGACATCAGTCATGGAGAGGAGGTAACAAAGGAGAGGACAGTAGAGAGGGGGGACGGGTGCAGGCAGGGTGCTAGCTAAGAAGATGCTCTCTGAAGAGCAGGGTCTTCAGGAGTTTCTTGAAAATTGAAAAGGAAGCCCCTGTTCTTGTAGTGCTTGGAAGGTCATTCCACATTTGTGGAACGATGCATGAGAAGAGTCTGGATTGTCCTGAGCGTGGTGTAGGCACTGCTAGCCGACGATCCTGTGACGACCGGAGCGGCCGGGCCGAGACGTAAGCCTTTGCAAGAGGATTCAGGTAGATGGGAGCCGTACCATCTCGGACTTTGTATGCTAGTGTTAGCAATTTGAATTTGATGCGTGCTGCTAGCGGTAGCCAGTGGAGCTCAATGAACAGAGGGGTGACGTGTGCTCTCTTTGGCTGACTGAAGACCAGACGAGCCGCTGGTTTGGAGTCTTACTTCCTGATATTTGGACATCTGGTCTCTGACTGACTAACAGCAACACAAATAACAAAAGCGTGAAAGAGTTCTGTTACGCTGTGCAGTTGCTAATGCTAACAGATAGCTTCTACTAGCAAAGACGTTCTCTGCTCTCTTCTGGATGCTAAATCAACAGCAGTCCTCCCCATTGTGAGCCAAGATGGGTGAGTCCATGAACGCTAACTTCACATGACATCCACTTTTTTGTTGTGATCTGTTTCTTTTTAATCTATTTGTTTTGTTTTTCCTTGCTTGATACCCAGCATAGCAAAGTTTTTACCTTGAATTGCTGACAGTTTTAATGTCACACAGTCACCATCTTCAGAGCCTTGAGAGCGAGGCTCTGAAGATGGTGACTGTTTGGCGTTGAAATGTTTTGGTTGTACCCACAAACCTGGGCCGCATCCAAATTCAGGAGTTCGGATTTTAAAACCAGTGACGTCGCAGCGCAGGCTAGACTTTCCCATTTCACAGCTGTTAGCATCCAGTCATGAAACAACATGTTCTTTTGAGACCATTGAAGATGGATACTCATGAGCACAAAACCCCTGAATTTGGACACAGCCCCAGTCCCCCTATCCGGTCTGAGTTATCTAGTGTGCCCCTTAGTGGAAACCTCCAGTACTACATGCAGAGCTGTGCAGGAGCTACATGTACTACATGTGAACTGCGCCAACGCAAGGTTAAACAGCAAGTACATTTTGGACCTTAGAGTGACTGATTATATTTTAAAATATGTGCAGCACACTGCACATGGTGGCGCAGTGGTTAGCACTGTTGCCTCGCAGCACAAGGTTGCAGGTTCGAAACTCGACTCCGGCCTTTCTACGTGGAGTTGCGTGTTCTCCCCACGCATGCGTGCATTTCCTCCGGGTACTCTGGTTTCCCCCACAGATCACAACATGCCCTATAGGTTATAAATTATAAGTAGTTTTGGATAAAAGCGTCTGCCAAATAAATAAACATAAACAAACAAACATAACATCAGCAAAAAATAAATTAGAACAGCTTCACAGTGATCATAGGTGACATATTAGATTAGCAGCAGAAAAGGTGTGAGGTTTTTACCTGCACGCTTCTTCAGCACCACAACAACACCTTTGCCATCAGCAGCTGGCTGCACACCAACAGTCTTTTTGTGCACCAGGCCATTGAAGCGGAAAGAGTTTCTGGACTTCAGATTGTTTGGCTCCTGCATTAAAAATGTTGTTTATAATCACACTGAACAGCCAAAGTATTCAACTGTGTATTTGTGTTTTTATTAGCAAAGTCGAACCAACCCACAAATAGCCAAACTAAAGCTTGGTTTATGCTTGACGCATTTACTTTCTGCTTGGTGATGCGGAACTTGCAGCGTTTATGTGGATTGTCTCTGCGGTGAGCCAATATTCTCCCAAACTGAACGGGGCAGCATGGAGCTCTACGGCATGCATCCAACACTACACCATAGTAGAAGTAAAACTTACTGTTGTTTACAACATGGCATTCCAGCATTTTTAACAGCGTCCTCGTCTTTTCCGACAGTGCGAGCTATTTCTCTCCAAGAATTATTAACAACATGTTGATCACGGTGATCTTTGAGAGCTGAATCATACAAGTGTCTGTATTTACGAACCTCTGCCATACTAGTTCTTGCCAGTCCGCCATGTTTTTCCACGTCCGACCGTCCGCGTGGTTAGAAAATTTCCTAGGTGCGCGGTGCGGAAATTTTGGGAAACAGTATCTGCAATCTCATTCTTTCGGTTACTACCCAAAGCTCGTAACCATATGTGAGGATAGGAAAATAGATCGACCACTAAATCGAAAGCCTTGCCTTTCGGCTCAGCTCTCTAAGTGTGTGGGGGCCAATGCTGGCCTGGGGACACTCAGCCAGCTCAACTTTCAGGCCTAGTCCACACGTAGCCGGGTTTTTTTAAAAACAAATATCCGCCCCTCCAAAAACTTGCATCCACACCACCTCGTTTAAAAAAAAACTGTCCACACGTACCCGGATAAATACGTTGTTAAGGACATGCCAGACCTGTAGGCGGCAGTACTTCCCCCGTTTTTAACCTCGTCCTTCGCCTGTGGTCTTCCGCAAGGAGCAGTAATTCCCCTTGCAAAAACAAACAAGCAAAAAGCTCTTGGACAATTGATAAAGCAAGCGCAGCTCTGAGGGCATCCATGATGTCGGCTAGTGTAAACACAGGTCGCACACGTGATGTCAGCATTTTTTTGTCACGGAAAGTGACGTTACGGTCCTTAAAACTCCGGTTTTGTCTGTCCACACACAGACACCCAAAACGGAGAAAACGCAGATCTTCACTTTGGCCGGAGTTTTTAAAAAGATCTGTTTTCGTGTGAAAAAACTCCATTTTCGTTTGGAAGACAGGCCAAAACTTAGAAAAATATCTACGTTTTGGCAGATCCCTGGCTACGTGTGGACAGGGCCTCAGAATATGGGCCAGAGGTTATACCAGCGCTCAGCCAACATTCACTTGTACTGGTTCACTGAGTGTGGGCCAGTACAGGGCCACAGTACACAATGAGTCACCATACAGTGCATGGGCCAGACCTGGGCCAAAGCCATAATGTGTCATTTTTCTGTGAGTGGGCCGTTATTGGGCCGAGGGCCCAGCCAACAGTGGGCCAATATTTATGGGCCATTCCCATTTGTACCAGGTCGGCCCGGGCCGGGTAGCCCCAGTCGACCCCAGCCTGGCCCAGTTGATTCCACACATCCTTGTCTTAAGCCCATGTGGGCTGATTCAACCCACCAATCAGAGGCTTGCTCTAATGGAAGGTGTGAATTTGCTGTCAGCAGTGGGTGTGTTGGCCCTGGTCGGCCTGAAGCAGACCCCCTCGAGAAGAGGGCTGAGAATGAGCCTTGGTTGGCCCGGAAAAATACCAGGCCACCCAGATATGTAAACAACCTACGCTAGCCAGCCTGGGCCGACCCGGTACAGATGAGAATGGCCCATTAGGCAAGGATGTGGGCCAGAGATGGGCCGGACAAATTTTGCTATGTGGGTAACCATTATTTTAACGATCATATGGTGTTGATATTATTAGGGCTGTCGCGGTAACCGCAAAAATGAAATATCGCAATTTGAAGAAGCCCACCGCGCTGCATCATGGGCCACCGCGATTACTGAACTTGGTTCAACTCAATGATGCATGTTGAGAAGGATGGCTGCACTGGTATCAAAACGAAACGTTACTTCGCTCCTTTGGGAGCACTTTGGTTTTCAGTACGTCAGCTGCTGCGCAGCCAGAGTCCTTGGCCGAGACAGAGCTGCCGCCAGCGGCAAAAAATAAATAAATACTAAACGCTCGGAGACCTCCTGAAGTCCCGGACAAGCACTGCTTCTGCAACTGTCCCGAAGAGAGTTTGAGCCGAGCTGGAGCTCACTCGCTACCTGCAGGAGGAATGCATCCACCCTAAAGAACCCCCCTGACATGGTGGAGCAACAACCGGGAAATACTCCCTTTGCTCGCCAGAGTCGCACGCAAGTTGAGTTCGGAAGCGAGCAAGGCCGGACCGGAGCGGAGGTAGTGGAATTTGGGGTAAGTGCAACGAGCGCACCATCCGAGAGGGTTTTCAGCGTTGCTGGAAATGTTGCCACCCCTCTCAGATCCTCACTCAAACCGTATATGGTTAACATGCTGGTTTTCCTTGTAGGTAACAAGGACGTGACCGAGCTATAAATCACAGTCATTTGTGTGTGTGAAAGTGAAATGATAGTGCGCCCGCCCCCCGGCGCGCGCGCGCCCGGTACATGCAATTTTTATGCTTGATTTTAAACAACTAAACAAAATGGGGACTTGTTTCTTATTTGTTAGATGCTGCAGCCAAATTTGCATTTAAAAGTTTAACCTTCTCCTGAATTTTGTTGTTTTTAAGTTCAGTCGGACTCCAACTGTCGGACAAACAAACGTTACTGCGATCTGTGTTGTTACTGCCCTTTGATCTGCATTCAGTAAAGCGTTATAAAAGAAGGCACGGCAATTTTTAACCTTTTTTAAATGTGTAAACATTATGTTTAGATAGTACTGCAATAAAAAAAAGTGCTGCAATAATATCGCATACCGCAATATTAAGCCACCCTGAATCACCGCAGGGGGAATTCCTCAACCGCGACAGCCCTAGATATTAGTTGATTCTTTTTGTCTTCCATTTAAAATGATTTTCAGGTAATCTTTTCATATCCTAAGGGACGGACACACACACACACGTTACTCACAGTGCTGTAGGTCTGTCCGTTCCTCTTGATGAGAAAGCTGGAGCAGTTCCTGATGATCATCCACTGCAAGTGGGACGACATGATGAACCTAATAAAACACAGGAGGGTGTTTAGTGGAAACCCGGACATCAGCGGCGGATCCGTTTCTACAGAGCGAACATTTCCAAAAGGGTCGTGTTTACTGTCATTATGGCAAAGGTTCCTAATAAAGTGTTGAAGCAAAGGTTAATAATAAAGTGTTGAAAGCAATAGCAAATGTATTAACCATTTAAGTTTAATTGGGTCTGAACTACATTATTCAGGTTTAGCTTGAAATGCTAACGTTAGCTCTTCCACTCATAGATCAGAAAACGATGAGGCCTAAACCACGTTACTGTCTTCAAAATAAGACACAAAATAATCACATTTATTGCCACATCGTGTGTGTAACAACGTGTACAACAATAATTAAGTCTTTTATTAGGGCAGGGACAACTTTAGGCAAGAAATAAATCAAATTTATTGAGCGAGGATTAGCAAAAGAAACGACCACGTTACCTTATGGCGGCGGAAAAGGACCAGAGAGAGCGGAAACCGCGTTACGGAAGTACTTCACAGATTCTTGCGCACACAAGGATAGCGTTTCACCCACTAGTAATTTTGCCATTCAAGAAAAAAAAACCACATAATTAACAGAATAAAAATTGACATTTAACTATTAAATATGAAAGAGGAGTTTATAGATTTCAACGCTTCACTGAATTTTCAGTGACGTTTTAAGAAAGACTAGTTCTGTACCCCAAGAGCGGAGGAACACCAATTTGGTAAGCAAATGTACCACATAATAATAATTCAAAACGAACAATAGCTATGATAATTAAGAAATAAAAATTCCTTTCATTTATTTAGATTTCATGACTGAAAACAAAAATCAGATATCTTAAAGGTAATTTTGAAGATTAAAACAGCTAATAATTAGTTAATAATTAAGAATATCCAGAACCAGCAGTTGAAATTTTCAATTGCAAATTTCTGAAAATATATTTTGACCATGTATTAAAATTAAAACGCATAAAGCTGCCACTGTAACATAAACAAGCTAAATAGAAACTGGCAGGAGCTCCGATGTAAAATGTGAGGTCTTCTTTACAAGGTATCTATTTCAAACTTGTACAATGTTCATTTTAAATGTAGGTGATGATTTCAGATAGTTAGAAAGTCCGGTATATCTGAAATAAACTTTATTTTTGCCATGCAATACTTAATTTTAAACATCTGGATAAATCCATTCACTAAGCATGAAATCAGACAAACACTTAGTCAACATTAAATGCTTCAGTGCCAGTTATTTCCTGATGCAATATTAGGTGTGTAGATCGGACTAACAGGAGTATCGTGTTGGCGAAGGAATCATTTCTGAACTTTTTCTTCCGATTATTTCATAAAACGGCTTGCCGTCAAAAAGGAACGCGTTTGCTCGAATTGTGACGTCATTAATCTGCGACGATTGTTTACAAACCTGCTCCAAACAGTCATACCGGTATTTAAAAAGAATAATCTGACTAGCTTTTATTTCAGTCATGATTTTAAGGACGAAGTTAATAGTAAAATGGCGTTTTGTGTGTTTGTTTTATTAAACCTTTTCTTACGCGAGTCTTTTTAAGATTTGCAACTAAGTGATTGGAGAGTTAGCTGGAAAAACTAATCACCGTATCTTTACGCTTAAAAAAAGCCCCGCTTTAAATTAGGCAGCCAGGTGAAAGTGGAACTAAATTAAATATGAAAAAATAAAATATGAGTGTGGACGAAGATCTGGAGACACTGGGTGAGCAGCTGTACTCTCTGATTTACCCCAAACATCAAGAGAGCGCTGGTAAACTCACAGGTGAGTAGGACACAAGTGGTCCTTTACATAATCTTATTCAACATTTAAAAGTTGCCAGAGAAATGCTGTTTTGGGGGGATTGCTGTGTGTTTCAGGCATGATGCTGGAGCTGCCTGCTGCTGTGCTGAAGCAGATGCTGCAGGATGAGGCGATGCTGGCAGCAGCTGTGGGAAAAGCCCTCAGGGCTTTGCAGCTGGCCCACAAACCCAGGTACACCCACGTACAAAAGAAAACAAACAGATTAATAGCAGTTTTTACATTTACAGTCAGCTTTTTAAAATGATGGTCACTGACTGGATTCCATTTTTGTTGACATATTTTCTTCCACCTTGCATATTCTCTCCCAGTGAGGTAACCTTTAAGGATGAAGATGATGCTTCTGTGTCCTCCGACTCTCTGGGAGAGCAGCTGTTTGAGTTGGTGGATGTTTACAACACTGGCCAGTCACAGAAAATCACAGGTGAGTGAAGTGTCCTTGTGTTCACTAATCAGAAGGATGACCATTTTGGTGCTTCTATGATTTTATTTATTTATTTCAGAAAAAACTAAATGATGGAAACCAGTGAAAACTGTCTTCCATTTTGATAGGACACTAAATGAATGACTGAATTCCTTGAAATGAGATTTATATAACCAGAGATGTTTCCTAACAGGTAGACAGATGAACACATCCAAAATCATTTTGTTTTTGCCGTTTAGCAGTGATAACTGAATAACACATTAGTTTTACTCAGTTTGATCAGTCCATCAATTTTCAACCACTTACCGGGATCAGGTCGCGGGGGCAGCAGCCTAAGCAGAGAGGCCCAGACTTTCCTCTCCCCAGCCACTTGGGCGTTTCTCCGGGGGATCCCAAGGCGGTCCCTGTCCAGGCGAGAGACATAGTCCCTCCAGCGTGTCCTGGGTCTTCCTTTGGGTCTCCTCCTAGTTGGATGTTCGTGGAAAACCTCACCAGGGAGGCATCCAGTAGGCAGCCTAACCAGATGCCCGAGCCACCTCAACTGGCTCCTCTCAATGTGGAGGAGCAGTAGATCTACTCCGAGCCACTCCCGCAAGACCGAGCTTCTCACCCTATCTCTAAAGGAGAGTCCAGACATCCTGCGGAGAAAACTCATTTTGGCCTCTTGTAAAATGGTAAATGGCCTGTATTTGATATAGATCCTTCTAGAGTCCTGGAACCCCCCAAAGTGCTTTACAACACAATCAGTCATTCACCCATTCACACACACGTTCACACGCTGGTGGTGATGAGCTACGATGTAGCCACAGCTGCCCTGGGGTGCACTGACAGAGGCGAGGCTGCCGAGCACTGGCGCCACCGGTCCCTCCGACCACCACCATCAGGCAAGTTGGGTTAAGGGTCTTGCCCAAGGACACGACAACAGCGACTGACTGAGCGGGGCTCGAACCTGCAACCTTCAGATTACGGGGCGAGCACTTAACTCCTGTGCCACCATCGCCCAACATTATCTGCAATCTCATTCTTTCGGTTACTACCCAAAGCTTGTGACCATATGTCAGGGTAGGAACATAGATCGACCAATAAATCGAGAGCCTTGCCTTTCGGCTCAGCTCTCTATTCAGTTTAATTTTGCAGTTAAAGGTTTAAAAGTTGAAGAAAAGACCCAAAGTACAACCATGTTATTCATCTTTAAGTTGATATCTTGTTTCTTCTAAAAAATCTGATTAAATATGTCATAAAATCATCAGAAACTATGGCCTTCACATCAAACTCAGCTGTTATTTGTGTTTTGTGCTCATGAAAAAATTCATGTTAAACAGAGATGGAAGATGCTACATTTGATCAAGTTTCTAGTGCATCCCTGATTTTTGACTAATTTATTCCTGCATTAACATAAGATTTTCTGTTTTTTCATAGGAATGCTTTTGGAGCAGCACAAAGATACAGTTTTACACCTCATTTCAGACCCCAAAATGCTGGAGGAGAGTGTGACTCTCGCCCTAAAGACCCTGAGGGAGTCAGTAACTATAATGTCTGTAGAATGCATTCAGATTTAATCAAAATCCTGCTTTTATTTTCTTTTGTATACTCTTATATCCTCCTAGTCTTTAACTCATCACAGAAGAACATTTACATTCAGAAACACTGTTAGAAAACATCAAAAAGCAAATTTTAACAGCTATAGTCATGTTTTGACCCCTTTTCAGACAAAACATGGAGGAGACAGATGTCAGCGACTCGTCAGAGGCCGACGACATGGACAGACTGGGAGAGAAAGTTTTTTCACTGGTTGAGAAGTTGGATCCACTTCATGCAAATGACATCACAGGTGAACCGGCACTGTGAACTCAACAGTTAGGATGCAAGATGTTTGGAAGATTTCCCTCCTTATCGGTATATCCTGAAAAGCTTAACACTTGTGATTTTCTGCAGGTATGCTCTTGGAAATGGACTCAGCTGCTCTCCAGCAGCTGCTCAGAGATCACACCATGCTGGAAGCTGCTGTTCAAAAAGCAAAAGAAGCCCTGAAAACACAGCTGAGCTCTCAAAAGAACGTCTTCTCCGCTTTAAAATGATTTTGAGGTGGATGGAATCAAAATGACTGAGGAGTCTGTGAGGCGTCAACCCAGCTGAAAGAAAAACCAAGGATAAATAAATAAATAAATAAATCATGAGAGGAATTCAACTAGAGCTCACATAGTCTGTATTTGCTTCAGTTGTTTGGGCTGACAAAGGTAAGCTGGTGGATTGAGCTTGCTTTTTTTAATATAAGATGTTTAAGTATTAAAAATCTTTTTGCTGACACTTCTGTGTTGGTTAAAGTCAAGTGTGCTGCATTGATGCTGTTTATTTGATTCATATATTGTGATATAAGTGTGCATTAATACAGTTATCTGCATGTCCATTACATCATCATGGCTGATAAGAGTGTAAAAAGCATTTTTACCATAGCCATCACAACTCCGTGACACCTGTGCAGCTCCACACTGACTCTCTACCACACACACACACACACACTCGTGTGAAAGTTACATGTTAAATTCTTAAATTCAGTATCTCGATCTTTTTGTTGTTCTGCACATACGTACGCAAACGTGCGCATATATGCGAGCGTACGTATGCACTCATACACTCAACAAAAATATAAATGCAACACCTTTGTTTCTGCTCCGATTTTTCATGAGATGGACTTAAAGATCTAAAATTCATTCCAGATACACAATATTACCATTTCTCTCAAACATTGTTCACAAGTCAGTCTAAATGTGTGATAGTGAGCACTTCTGCTTTGCTGAGATAATCCATCCCACCTCACAGGTGTGCCACATCAAGATGCTGATCCGACATGAGTAGTGTACAGGTGTACCTTATACTGCCCACAATAAAAGGCCACCCTGGAATGTGCAGTTTTGTCTTACAGCAAAATGCCACAGATGCCACAAGCATTGAGGGAGCGTGCAATTGGCATGCTGACAGCAGGAATGTCAACCAGATCTGTTGCTCGTGCATTGAATGTTCATTTCTCCACCATAAGCTGTCTCCAAAGGCATTTCAGAGAATATGGCAGTACATCCAACCAGCCTCACAACCGCAGACGACGTGTAACCACACCAGCCCAAGACCTCCACATCCAGCAGGTTCATCTCCAAGATCGTCTGAGACCAGCCACTCAGACAGCTGCTGAAACAATTGGTTTGCATAACCAAACAATTTCTGCACAAACTGTCAGAAACCATCTCAGGGAAGCTCAACTGCATGCTCGTCGTCCTCATCGGGGTCTTGACCTGACTCCAGCTCGTCGCCGTAACAGACTTGAGTGGGCAAATGCTCACATTCGATGGCATCTGGCACGCTGGAGAGGTGTTCTCTTCACGGATGAATTTCGGTTTACATTGTTCAGGGCAGATGGCAGACAGCGTGTGTGGTGTTGTGTGGGTGAGTGCTTTGCTGATGGCAATGTTGTGGATCGAGTGGTCCATGGTGGTGGTGGGGTTATGGTATGGGCAGGCATCTGTTATGGATGAAGAACACAGGTGCATTTTATTGATGGCATTTTGAATGCACAGATACCGTGATGAGATCCTGAGGCCCATTGTTGTGTCGTACATCCATGAACATCACCTCATGCAAGATAATGCATGGCCCCATGTTGCAAGGATCTGTACACAATTCTTGGAAGCTGAAAATGTCCCAGTTCTTGCATGGCCACCATACTCACCGGACATGTCACCCGTTGAGCATGTTTGGGATGTGCTTGACCGGCGTATATGACAGCGTGTACCACTTCCCACTAATATCCAACAACTTCGCACAGCCATTGAATAGGAGTGGACCAACATTCAACACGCCACAATTGACAATCTGATAAACTCTATGCGAAGAAGATGTGTTGCAATGCATGAGGCAAATGGTGGTCACACCAGATACTGACCAGTTCTGAGTCCCTAGACCCCCAATAAAGCAAAAAAACTGCACATTCCAGGGTGGCCTTTTATTGTGGGCAGTATACACATGCAGAGCATTTCATGATAGAAAACGAAAAGTCGACTTGGCAGGATAATTACAATCCTAAAGTGGGAGAAGGTTTGTCTGTTACAGATGAGCTGCTCGTTTCTGAGATGAAAAATCCAGAAATGGAGGACGATGTCAGTAATATTCAACGGTCCAAAGAGATAAGTCTGCTTCAGAGGGATAGCCTCTCTCGTGTTAAGCCTTCAAGTTCATATAGAAAGCAACACTCACAAATTCAGGATTAAAATAAATTGGTGTGATGCTCAAAGAACAGAACAAAGCTTTGAAGAGGAGTTGTGAAAATCAACATACTAACTCTGAAATCCTTGTAGATGCAACAAAACCAAGCCTAATGACGGTAAAGCGGTCTTTAAAACCAGGGGAGGTGTGCTATGGAGAATTGAGTGAGGAAGAAGACGACAGTCAGTGGTTGTTTATGACAGAAGAGCTGCCGGGTTTTGAAGCAAGCCCTCCACAAGATGAGGAGTCCTGCTGCTCTTATTCACAAGATTCGAGAAGTCAGAACAAAGACGCGCGTATGCCGATGCATTTTAACTTCTAATCAACAATCTGACCTCTCTGCAGTTCCCGCTTAGAAATGATGCAGGGATCTGAAATTCACATTATAGGACCATTCCCACTGGGAGATACCTGGCTTCATACATGTTGGTTTGGCGAAGACAATTCAACTTCCCCCCGGTTTTTAACTGGTCTCCCTGCCCTGTTTTGTAGGCACAACCTGCACTGACTGAGCTTTTATATGGACTTTTAGCTTCCTTGCCTTCTCTGTTGCATATTGTAGCCGTCTCTGATGACAGGTGACCCAGTTTTCTGTAATGAACAGCCGGCATACTCAGGTAGACCCAGCAGACGATCTTGAGGGAGAAATCCATGTCTCCCAAACATCAAACAATGTGGTGTGTATCCTGTAGTACTATGGACAGAGTAATTATATACTTGGATCATTTCAGGCAAATGATTCTGCCAGTTTCTCCTCTCATCTCCCAGGGTACCCAACAGGCCAAGAAGAGTTCGATTTAGCCTCTCACATGCCCCATTACCTGCAGTATGGTGTGGTGTGTTGTGTGGCTCTTTGATATGCCATACAGGTCACACAATTCTTTCAACAGGCTGGACTCAAAGTTAGGTCCCTGTTCTGACAGAAGCCGCTTAAGTGCTCCAAACTGCTGAATGACATGATTTGCCAGTACCTTTGCTGTAGTGGCTGCTGTCTGATCTCTGGTTGGGATGGCCCTGGCAAACTTTATGAAATGGTCCACCATCACCAGCACGTTATGGTAGGCATCCTCCAGGTGTCCTATTGAGAGAAAGTCCAGAGAGAGCAATTCCATTGGAACATTTGACTGTATTGGTACCACAGTGAACACTGCTGACACTCTGCTCCCCAGTTTGACACATCTTTCCACATTTTTGGCCAGAAAAATCTATGTTGCAACAGTGCATACATTTTTTTCAGGACCCCAGTGGCCAGCATCTGAATGATACATTTGCCAGATATTATGGCGCTCACCTTCAGGGAGTAAGATTTGAAAGATTGGCTCCACTTCTTTTGGGTCGAGTCGCTATGGCTTTCAGAATTGTTTTCCTGCAATTCTACCATCCTCCGTTAAGTAGACCAAGCACTCGTACGTTCTTGCACAAGGAAATACCATCTGATCCTGTGTTTTCTGGAATCTGATAAAAGGACAAACAACTAAGTTCTTCAGCGGTACTTCTGAGTTAAAAAATGCTCATGAAATACGTATGTGGAGTAACCAGGTAGGTAGGTTTTAACTGTTGCAAGTCTGCAACGCCTGCCTCCAGAGGGTTAATGCCTTCAAAGTCACATTATAGAGAATAAAAGATCTGGTGCATTTGTTTGAGGACAGAATATGCCGCACTTCCCACAACCAACCCGATCGTCTTGATGTAACTTTTGTGACTGGTTTCAGTAACTTTACAGCAATCCTCATACTAAGCAAGCATTTAGCGACAGTGGAGAGGAAAACTCCCTTTTAACAGGAAGAAACCTCCAGAGGATCCTGGCTCAGTATAAGCAGCCATCCGCCATGACTCACTGGGGATCGAGAAGACAGAGCTGACACACGCATACACCAACACCAGCCCACACACACATAAACACACATCCACACACACACAACATATATACCAAGTAGTGTTTCTATGGTTACATTGTGATTTCTTAGCAAATATTCTATTTGATGAGAGATAAACTTTATTGTATTTATCCTAGAGAATCTATAAATAAATGGGTAAACTAGTCGTAGCACATTCAATGTCAAAGAAAGTAAAATGTTATCAGGAGAGGGAGAATTTTTAAATTGTTAGCAACAGTGTTAAAGCCGATGGCCCCCTCCATGAGGGCACCACAGCTCAGCAAAACATAATTTTAGCTTCTTCTGGGGAGAAAAACAAAGAGAAAATAAAGTTAGCAGCTGAAATAACAGGAAATAATACAGTTAAAGAGCAAATTGTAGAAGAAAGTAGTCGAGTGTGGAACGTGGTCAGTATGTCCTCCAGCTTGGCTGAAGTAAAAGCCAAGGAATAAAAATGAGCCTTAAGGCGTGATTTAAAATCAGAGAGAGAGGGGCCATTCTCACTGCTAGAGGGAGTTGATTCCAGGGACGAGGCGCACAAACTGAAAAGGGTCGTTCTCCTCGTGTCCTCACCCAAACATTTGGGACATGTAACAGGCGGTGGTCTGCTGACCGAAGAATTCGACCAGGTACGTAGGGCTGAACCAGCTGAGTCAAGTACAGAGGCGCGTAGAGATACTTAAAAACAGGAAGTAACACTTAAAACTGGATGCGGTAGCGCACCGGGAGCAAGTGCAGCTGGGCCAGAACAGGAGTAATGGGCTCCCTCTTGTCGCCTCCAAATAAGACTTTCCCTTTCTCGATTGTCTGGGTAAGGAGGGGAATAAAAGTACTCCACTTCTAATGACTGCTCAGAGTGAAAACAAAGCTAGCTTCATCTCGTTACCCATCCATCTTCATCACTGCCGCGGCTCTGCCCTCTCGGTCCGCCAGGCAACACCTACTGATGTTACAATTTTCAAAATTCATTTGTGGGTGGAGAAGGACTTTGAGGCAGGGTTGACAATTCCTTTAAGGTGATATCAGCTGAGGCACTGAATGAGCAACGATGAAATATGAGCTTAGATGTTATGTTAAATAAAACCTAATTGTCTTAGAAAATTGTGATATCTGGGTTGTAAAATAAGTCTGGCTGACTGTTTACTTGGTTTAACAAGTTATCAAATTAATAATAAAAGCATCCTGACGCCAGGTGAGAGACTACGATTACCCTAGAGATGGGAGTTCTCGTTAGGTCCAGCTGGCAAGGAAGTCGAGTCGGCCAGGTTACCGGGAGGAGTTGACTGAATGTCAAAGGTCGCAGCTTCCTTTGAATTTGCAGATGGCCGGTGAGATACAAAACTTATGTATTTACTGCTGAAACATTGAAATATACCCTATCACATTTCACTTTGGAGAAAAAAAAACCCACAGCAACTTTATTTTAAAAACACGATTTATGTAATAAATCAAACTAATAGACATCTCTATTAAAATGCTACAAAGAGCAAAAAGAGAAGCACATTTTTGATATATTTTTTCACTTTGTTTAAAGTAATTGTTCAGCAAATTTCCATAAGAAATCCCAAAACAGGAAAAATGGCTTCTGAAACCAAACGTGAACTTTAAAGTCAATCCAACAAAGTGAATGAACAAGAAACATTTAAGAGGCTCAGCGACGGAATCAACTTCCATTGGTAAAGTAAAATAAAAACAAGTGTTTAGAAAACAGTTAGCTCATAGTTTACAATGAAAAGGTTTATTTATATGCAGAAGCAGCTGATACAAATGATTAGAATATGATTGTTGTCATTTCTTGAATCATTAATGCATTTCTCACTCTCACACACCTCTGAGCCTACATTTCATAAATACAATCAATCTGATATACAAATATTTGGATAGATTCATTTTCTGCTATATTTAAAAAGCTTCTTTAATTCTGGCTCCTGCTGTTTCGTCTCATTTCATTTGTCTGTTGAGAATTTTGAAAAAAAAAAAAAAAAAAAAAAAAGACAAAAACCTGACAGGCCTTCAAGAGTGGACAGGTAATGGAGGAGGGGGGGGGGGGGGTAATTTAAATACAAGCAGCCTCTAAACACTGCAGACTTTCTTTACTGGAGGGCGGCTGAAACGAAAAGCTAACACAGCAACACAAAATATGATGGACGCAAATCCCTCACAAAGATCGACTCCGATTAAGAAAAAAAAACAAAAATCTGCACAAACCACAGAATGAAATTGAAAGGTGCCTCTTTCTGTCGGTCCTTCACACATCCAGTCAGACGTACGAACCTCAGACATGGAGCGATCGATCATTTGTTATAACGGGAAGCTGGCAGCTTTAGTAGAGCAACACATTTATTGTACACTAGATGATGCCAACATGAACATTTTGTGAATTAATGAATCTAGATAAGCCTATACACAAAATTAAATGGATTTTTTTTTCCTGTTTATCAGCAGGAATAAGCCCTTTAAGGACACACTGCTAATTACAAATCCACCAGCGCCACCTACTGGGCTTATTAAAAAGAAAAACAAAGGATCCGAGTGGTTAAGCTGTTAGATGAAGACCAAATGAGGTTCTTCTTGTGTGAAGGCAAAAATGAAGTGTCCTTAAGACAGAGAGGAGTAAGTTCATGTGCTTCATTTACTCCCAGAAAGAATCAATCTTCTTCTTGGATGAGGTTTACTTCAACACTGGGTACTGACGCTGCCCGCCCAAGCGGCCGGGCCGCGCTCCACCTCCTGGTGGTGCATTTGTCTGGAAATGAAACAAGACAAACAATTAGAGAGCAGAAAGCAAACACAGCAGGACCCGAGAAGCTTTACCACACCTGTGCAAACTGTGCAGGATTATAAAAAGTGACCCCTCCGCTGGGTGCAGCTCCCTGGGGAGGATGACTCTGTGTGAGAACAGAGCAGATGTTACTGTGGTGTTAGGAGAACAAGAAAACAGAGACAAATGTACACAATCGCTGTAGGTGTGACTGACGGAGAAGCAGGCAGAAGTGAGGAAAAGCAGAAGTAAAAACCAGTTATGTGTATTATATAGCAGCCATGCAAGCATCACGTCAGGTTAGTGAGGCCTTGATCTCCAACGACAACTCGTATTGGTCTTCAGTACAATTAAAATCCAATAATGTACTAGTTATTTCAATAAATCTGCTGTGGTATATACTCTAAATAAATGCCCTGTTAGTTGTTTTCTGTGGAAAAAAAGCTCTTGTGCTTAGGAAGTAAAAGTTAGCTGAAGGAGAGGGGGCAGAAGGATTTAGAATCTACTCATTATTATTCATGATATTCAGACATCTTGCCTCCGATTGGCTAACGAGACTACCGCTGCCCTCACTCACTCTGCAATGTTGATGTTTTATCTCTACTAATAACAACCTGAAGATGTGCCGTGTTGTGCAATTGCTAATGCTAATTGTTAGCTTCAACTAGCTAAGACACTGCTCTCCTCTGGATCCTTAATCAACAACAGCCTTCCATGGTACAAGGCCAAATGGGTGTGGCTTTTATAATCTGAGCGTTCAACCTTTTATTTTCTTATCAGTGGCTAATGCAGGAAATAGGGGTAGAAGACTATCTTCCTGTTCAGCCTGCGCGTGAAAACTTGTTAATTGACAGCCATGTTAAAAAGTTAAATAAACAAACACATCCAATTAAACGAGAACAATAACAGCTTTAACACATGTTGAAACTACTTAATATTTTCTAAAGTGTTTAGGGATCAGAAATGTCATTTCTGGAGATGATCTAATATCTCAGACTTCCTGGGGTCCTAACCTGACACCAAAGTACAGCAAACGTGAAAACCAAAGGACAAAACAAACGTTAAATAAGCTGAAGTTGGTTTCTTTCTTTGACAGGAAAGAAACAAGAATATGTTGTGATGCTTCATGTCAAAATACCAGTTATACATTTAACATGCAAAACTCATGATGGCTGAAACAGAAATGTGTCTTCTTAAGGGCAACGTTCCACAAAACTCATATGAATCCACAAAGTAGATTAGCGGAACAAGAAGGGAAAAAATGAAGTAACTTAAAAAAAAAATACACCAACTGTTTTTTCCCTTACAGATAGTTTTGTTAGTAACGCTGGAGATGAGCAGGCAGACATGATGATTGTAACGAGCAGCAAAGCTTTACCCGGGCTTTCCACTGGATGCGTAAGCGTTAGCTCAGCGGCGCAACCTGTTCCATCGTTTTAGACATGAATCGGCAACGGAAGTGTTCCACGCAGCTGGCCCACGAGGTCACAAAATCACTGGAGAATTATAACACTACGTGTGATTTTGCCAATTCATAAAGCAAAGAGAAAACGGCTGCATATATCTCAAAGTTTATTTTCTGTTTACCACGGCGACAAAGGTTTCACAGGAAATCAGGTTTTTTTGTTTTTTCCATCTAAGAAACTGGAAATCGGCTATTTTATTTTGAAAGTTTCCAGATGTTTTAAACTACTTTTGTGTTTGACTTCCTGTCTGGCACAATCTGAACTGCTAAGATTGATACGTTCTGGAAGAGTAGCTTGTAAAAAATAGACACGTCGCTACGCTGCTGAGATGAATCCAAAATGTGACGCTTTGCGACTGGTGGAAACACACCCATCCACTACAACAGCCGTTAACTGCAGCGTACTACACTTCACAGACGTTATGCGCCGCTCACGCGTCCGGTGGAAAGTTCGGGTCAGCGATGTAAATGATAATTACGATGAGGTGAGCTACTGAACAAAAGAGGCAGGATGGGGTGAAAACGAACCATTAGAAACCCAACTGGTACCTGGTTTAAATGCTGACTCACTTCTCTTGATAAAGAACTCATTGAGCTAGATCGTGACAGCTGAAGAAAATGTAGGAAGTAGAGGGGGAAGAAAGAGCAGACAACAACCATAAACCCACATTAATAGTGTTCCATGCACATAATTAGATCGGTTTTGACTAACAGAAAAAAAACTGTTATATAAATGACAAAGACACAAAGTAGAAACTGTAGAAAGTATCCAGCTGTTAACCACGAGGAAGATGGAAAATCTTAGTTGCTGATATTAACATCCTTCCATTTATGTTACTTTACAAATGAAGTGTGCAGGTTAGCCGATAGTTGTCAGGCACCAGCATTCACTGGAAGCATGAAAAGCATTTTACAGCAGCAGCTGTTAGGTCTCACCTCCCCAGACCGAGAGCCATCAGGGACAGGAGGACCTTCTGGGGCTGGTGGTAACAACATCGGATTGAACATCTGAACAGATTAAGAGATTTTAAATTACCGTGGCATCAGCGGACTACAGAATTATGTCAAAACTGCTGACTATTAAAAAAACAGATTACTGATGAGAAAGTGTTTAACAACATTCTAACTAAAAAGGAAACCAGTTCAGAGTAATGTTAGAAACCTGTGAAGGAGCGCCGGTGTTTGGTGAATTCTGCTCAGGAGCTCCTCCTTCATGTCCCTCCAGAGGCTGATGATCATCAGGAGCTTCAGCAAGAAGAAGAGAGTTTTCCAGGTTACGCCTGGTTCACATCAGCCGTGAAGCGCCACGAAGCGGATTGCTCACGAACTATGAGCGCTGCCCGCTGCTCCACTGTTCACATCAGATGAGAATTTTCGACAAGCGCTTCTGCTCACTCCTACTGTTTTCTAAACCCCCATGCCCTTGTTGTGTGTGTGTGTGTGTAATCAGTTTGCACTGCTTGTTGAAATCAGAAACTGAGCCGATCCTGCTGCTGTTTTGTAGACCAGTTCCGTTCTAAATGGGTACGGTACGTAAATAACCTAGAGCAGGGGTCCTAACATTGCCCGCAGGCTGCCTATTGAGGACCACTGACTTAGAGTTTGTGGTACTGTACAATATTATTGTATATTTACCTTTGAATTAAACATATTTGTTTGTATTCACATTTATTAAATCCATCTTTGCTGCAAAAACGATTTAAAATTATGGAAAAGCTATGTTTCTCCACAGAAGTGTGTGTGTGTCCATTTTCATCTCTTTAGTCTTTTTAGATACATAAAAATGATCACATTCATCAATAGCGGTGCTTTATTTAGAAAAATGTCTTTATATTGTTAACTTTACTGGCCTGCCTCGTGTTTGGGTTTGACGTCCTGCCATGATTGACGAGGCTCCATCACAGCTCACGAAAAAAATAGAGCACACACCGAAACGATCGCTGCACGGCGCAAGCCTCGTGAACGAGACCATGTGGTAAATGGCCTGTATTTGATATAGCGCCTTCTAGAGACCTGGAACCCCCCAAAGTGCTTTACAACACAATCAGTAATTCACACCCTGGTGGTGATGAGCTACATTGTAGCCACAACTGCCCTGGGGCTCAGTGACTAAAGCGAGTCTGCCGTACACAGGCAACACCGGTCCCTTCGAACACCACCAGCAGGCAAGGACACAACAACAGTGAGAGACTGAACGGGGCTCGAACCTGCAACTTTCTGATTTACGGGGCGACAACTGTGCCACCGTCGCCCCAACAGGTTAAGAAGGGCGCAGAATAGAAGCGCTCGTTGTTCCACCGCGCATAGCAGCGCTTCCGCGTCTGATGTGAACGAGGGGTAAAACAGCTTTGTAGCTTCATCTCTCAGCATCAACCTAAATATTATTTAGAGCCAAACACACGGGCAGCAAGGAAAGCTGCAGAATACTCTAATGTAGATATGAAGCCACCAACATAACTAAATAAAAGTCTATTCTTCATAATTAGATAATCAGGCTTATTCTTTTCATTCCACTTTTCTGACACACACCTGAACTAGGCACAAACAAGTTAGCAGGCATAGACATTGGTGCCAAAGGAGCAAAGATGTCGGCTGGAGGAGGGGCCACCCCGCCTGGATTAGCTTTTCTGTTCGGGTTCAGAACATCCACGTATCTGCTCTTGGTACCTGAAACAGCACAACAATTTAAAGAGATGTTATGATCCTCCAGTCAAAAAGTGTTTAACGTAAATCCACAAATGTGACCCTCTATCTCACCCGCCTTCCTGGAAAACACGTTGAACTGAGAACCAGCGTTTGGCGGAGCAACCGGCCCACCAGGACCAGGCATCTGAGGCATCTTGGGAAACCCAACTGGCGGTGGAGGAAGAGGTTTACTCTGATAGGAGAGAGAGAGGACAAACGCATCAGCACCGGTTCAGCTGGGAGTTTGAAGGTTTGAATCGTTGTCTCTGAAAACATTTACGGACCTCCTCTTCAGGCTCGTTCAAGTCTACCCATCGATTCTTCTTTTCATCCCACACAATCTAACAAGGATTAAAGTGGTTTTAACAACAACACTCACCCACAACACCAGAAACACACAAAATATGGCAAATGTGGAAATAAGACGCATAAATAAGGTTAACTAACAGAGGGGTTTTTGTCGTCTGGCAGGTGAGCCTCATTTTTCTTCCTTCCAAAAGGCCACGGCAGCCAGCTTTTCCCCTGTGTGAAAAGTCACATATAGTAAGTATATAAGTAACGTATTAAATGTCGTGAGACAGATGACTGAAGATCAGAAAGTCTGAGTGAAACCTTTTCCGGTGGGTCTCTTTTGGCTTTCTTGGCCTCTTCTTTACGGGGCTGCTCAGGGATAGAAGGTGGAGGTGGAGACGCCTGCTTCACTGCAGAGTTGCTTCGCTCTCTTCCACCTGAGTGGGTCGATGACTCGGAGGCTCTGCGAGAGCTGCGTCCTGATGCCTGCACAACAGATGTCATCAGTAAGAGCATTGTGTGAAAAACAACAATGTTGCCTTCGGTAACCACCTCATAGCAAGGCTGATTAGTTAGATTTCAGCCGATTCTATGTTTGCTCTTATGTTCTCCCTGAGGCGGTGTGCTTTTAAGGTACTCCCACAGTTCTAACACATGAGTACCTGGGGGACTAAATGGGTTGTGAGCTCATGTGTCGGTGTGCCTTGGGGGAATAGTGATCTTCCTGGTGTGTACTACATCTCCCAGCTATTATGCAACTCAGAACTAAGCAGGTAGGGAAGATAAATATGTGAAGGGACGTTTTTCAGTATCCTTGAACAGAAGAGGCTTCTTATGACATATTTTCCAAACATCTCCAGCCTTTTAACAAAATATATCTTCTACTTTCCATTTTATGTTTACCTTATTTCTGAAAGGAAAACATAATACCAACCAGCTCTGGACCGAGCACTTCAAGCCTCCTAAAGACTAAACTGCTAGAATGGTGCACACAGACTACAACGCCCTCTGCATACTTGCTTCTCGTACTCGGACAAGGCACACTCTGTAATACTACCTATGCTGCATAATTGTGTCATATTATATTCTATAGGGCTTTCTGGGTGTTTACTTGCCATACATAACTTACATTTCAAATGTTTTTTAACAGCCTCGATGCTTGACTTTTTAAAATATTTTTCTTTCTGTACGAGTTCCTTGTTTCCTGGAAATGTCCAGTTTTCTTGCTAAAGTGGCAAATGAAGCACCTGGACCCTTGAAATACAAACACTAAAAACCGTTTAAAATACAGTTAAAGAGCAAGGCTATAATCAATAGTTTGCTCTAAGGGCTCGGATCTTGGTATAGATGGATGTTACTTCACTTGACTTACATGCTTATACAGTCTTAGCAACAGTAAACCGCAACAACCCGACAAACTCAAGAACGACTCAGAGTGCAACCGCGAAGTCAGGTTTGATCTATCCTACAAATATTTTTAACCAATTAACACGTTTAGAAAAAACCTGCCAGGCTTCTGCTTGCTGGGAATTTACATCAAGGAAGACCTGACTTGGGGTGTAACAGATTCCCCAAAAGCTGCTGGTGTCCTATCATGAGAGCATCCTGCACTAATGCCTGTGTGTGGTTTTTCAGCTGCACAGGGGAAATGTGTCCAGAAGCCGTGGAGATCACAGGCCGTCCATCACCTTCCCACGTTCCAGCTGTTGACACCCGGCAAAAGATTCAGGAGTATCAAAGCTACCAGACTTAAGAACACTGAAGCTAACCTAGCTAACCTTGGGTGCAAAACAGTTTTTGGTTGAATGATGATTTATTTGGTGCTAACAGACTTCAGCCTGACTGAATTGAATCATACCTTTTCACACGGACTCTTTTATATTTTGTTTATCTCTTGATGGCTTCTAATGTCACTGATCGTGTTTCAACGACAAAGATTTTCTAATTCACATGACAATGTATGTTAGATAATGAATAAAAATGGACTCACAACCAACATGCTATTGCTAAACATCACAAGAACAGCTACCATGTATGTAGCCTGAATGCCCCGTTATCTGGGTGACATACACAAATTTTAAAAGAAGAGTTTTAGCATTTTGTCTTGTTTGTTTTACCATTTGAGCATCTTTGTTGGGACAAGGACATACCAAATGTGTTGAAGACTGAGAAATCGTCCGTGTTCTCCTAGAACCCTGTGGTACCAAAAAGATTTTGGAAAATTAAACATTTAAACGTCACATGAAATAAAATCTGACATAGGCGTGGCACTCAGAATGCCACAAACTAACCATGTTAGCCATATGATCATACAAGTCCATCTGAGGTGTGAAGGAGCCCCTGGGCGGGGATGATGAGATTGGCTGGGCCTGCATCTCTGGGGGAGCTGGCATATGGCCAGGAGAGGCTGGCATCAGCTGTGGCATGTGTGGTGGTGGTGGTGGATGAAACATCTGCACAGGTGAATGTGGCACCTGTGGAGGAAGACTGTGAGGTGACAGCTGACCCTCCTGTGAAGGAGGGAAATGTTGCTGATGGACTCCTGGATAGATCTCCATCTGCTCAGGCTGAGGTTGGAAGGGGGGAGGGGCAACGCCGTGATCCTGTGGATGGAATCCTGGCACGGGGACCTGGCCTGGTGGTCCAGTAGGAGATACTGGGTAGAACTGTGGCGCATCATTGGAGGGTAAGAGCTGAGGAGGAGCCATTCTGTCCTGGAGAATGGTGGTGGGAGCTGAAGAAGTAAATAAGAGACATATAAGAAAAGGTTTTGAACACACACGCGCACACACACACACACGCACGCGCGCACACGCACACGCACACACACACACACACACACACACACACACACACACACACACACACACACACACACACACACACACACACCTGGGGGCATTAACTGCACTCCTTCTGGTGGAGGTCCAGGTAGTAATGAGCTCATGAGGGGGTTATCAGGGGCGTGGCCATCCACTTCCGTTGGCATGCTGTAAGGTTCTGGTGGAGTTGGTTGGTCCAAGTCAGAACCTTCACTGCTACAATCAAACTGTGCAGGTGTGGTTCTGTTCACATTGTAGATGATCTGGCCAGTCTTTAAAAAAATCAGAAGAAAACAACAGCAGGAAAATAATTATCTTGTGTCTAAAATCTGAAAGTTCACCAAATTATGTAAACGGATTCATTTTTAAAAGTTAACACAATCTCTTCCCTAATCTAGCATTATTATTATTTTCATTTGATCTCAAATTACATATTTAACATCTAGACACTGTTTGATTTTGAATTATTTAAAAAAACAAAGAAACTTATAATCGTCCTCACCCTGATCTGCCCATCCAGATGCCTCAGGTGAATCAGCCATTCAGGTTCAACAAACAGTTCCTGCTCAGGTTTCTCCTTTAATTGTGGATCAAAGAAACGCAGCTTTTCTGAAATCTGTAGACAAACAGAAAAATATGCATAAATCACAAGGACACAGTAGAAATGGAGATAAACGTGATGAACATGGACAAAAACAAACCTGAATGATCTGACTAATGAACACTGGAGAATAGTAGGAGGGGTGCACGAGGACAGTCTTTGAGATGACTTCACAATAGTGAAAGGCCTGGGCACACAGGCCTGCCTCAGCCAATCGGCATGCATAGATTAACTTGAACACCTGATGGGAGACGATGCAGAACATTAGAAATATACCAACAGCTGACCCAAGTGTGATCATGTAAACGTGAAAATAGATATAGACAGATGTTATAGCATATAATAAAGCACTTTGTAATGCAGTTTTTAAAACTAATCAGGAAAACCAACCTGGAAGTTGGGCAGTGAACATGGCTGGGAGCCCAGAGACTGAGCATACTCGTAGGCTTCAGTCCTCTGGATTGCTTCATTAGTGGAAAATTTAATAAAGGGCAAACTAAAGTGAAGAGATAAAGAAAAAGTTATGTTTCTCAGTATAATTTATAGAAATATTACAAGACTAATCATGTGTGTGTGTGTGTGTGTGTGTGTGGTGTTCTAACCTGTGGTTTGAGCCAATCAAAACGAGCTTGGTGCTCTTTTTGGTGAAAACTCCTAAGCCAACTTGAGCCATGAGGTAGCAGAAGTGTGCAGCATCTGTCAGCCCCTTAGAAGCTGCACAAAGTAAAAAATAAATAAATAAAAAGATGATCTCGTGAATCAGGTCGGTTATAATCAGAGGATGAGGTAAGTGGATGAACAACCCTACCAAGAGTGTCGCCCATAGTGGTGATTGTGCGAGAGTCCAGGTCCATATTGTGGGTGAGGTTAGACAGTATCATGGCCAAATGAGGGCGCCAGTCACCCCACTTCTCTTCTCCACAACACTACATGCACACAAAGTGTATTAATATAAAAATCTGCACACTAGCCTTATATCCTTCTTATATACACACACAAACAAGGTACAAGTAAAACCTACAGTGGCCGATGCGGGCATCCTTCCGGACATCAGCTGGTACATCGTCTGGAGAGGGTCATTCATAGGCAAACTATTGGCAAACCTAAACAAACACACAAAAATACATTTAGAATAAAAAGAACATTACTTTTAAAGTAAAAAATGATTCCAGATCAGGCATTTTACCTCGTCATGACCCGTGCATGTGTCCTGTTGTCCATCTTACTGGCCAAAAGTAAGGCGTGACCCCAGAGCCCTCCCTTCATGGCTGCTTCCAGCGCATCCTTTCCCATAAACCAAACAGGTTAAAACGCTCCATGTGTCAAAAGTTACAAATAAATCACAGACAGACTTTAACATTTCTTACTTTTTTGCGGCCAAACAGTAGCAGTTCCCTGAAGCGCTCCGTTTCCTTGCCAACATTCTCGGGGACAGTCATGAAGGTGTCCGACAGAAGGGACAGGGGTCCAGCTCCAGGCTCCTCTTCAGCTCGAGCGATGGGCTCGTTATTAAAATCAATCAAGTTGGCTTCATTGGGACTCTTCCCTGGCAGCCACACGGATCGGTGCTCCTTCAGCAAGAGGTCAGCGATGTCTGTGCCAACGACAGTCTAAGGGAATGAAAAAACAGTTTTAGAACATTTTAAAAAAATAACATCTCAACTTTGCTTCTTATCTAATAAATTTGTAGCTACATCTGCATAAACCTACCCCGTTCTGTCTACAGAGCAGCACGATGAAGTCCCAGAGCAGGCGGGCAGAGTCCCTGTCCAACAGGTTGTTATCCCGAGAACACTCCAGTGCTTTGTTCTGGGAGAATTTGATCACATCCACCTTATGGGTATCCTCCCTGATGGCATGATGCACAATGTTAAGATAAAAAGGACTTGCCTAAACCAAAGTCTAGGTCAAGTTAACAGCTGTTGTCATTCTTAAAAATAATCTCAAACAACATGTATGTATTAGCATAAATCTGAAATAAGCGTCATTCATTCATTAAAAACATAATTTATTGTTTCTGTCTTCAGGTATTAACTCAATCCTGAGGTCATTTTACTAAATAACACTGGTAATTACTTCAGATTAATAGGGCTGTAGTGAAGCCTCGATGATGTCGACGGCTCGATTCTAAAAATTTGTCGATGTCAGATCCAGTAGTCGACGCACCGCGCCCACTTGTTGCATCCCCAGGAGTTTGTAAATAGAGGAGGAATCTGCCTGTTTTTCCTCTAGTTCGCCCTCTTCTCCGCCTTCACTAACATCTCTGCCAAACACCGAAGACCCGGAACAATGTCCGTCCGCTGCTAGATTCCTTTCCTGTTTTGCCCGCCTTCGTCTCCCGGCAACGGACAACAACTTCTGGGGTCAGATGCACTGCTTCATCTCTACCGCAGATGTAGAAAATCACCGGGAGCTTTTCTCCCTTCATAAAAAGAGCTTCTTTCAGACATTAGGAGAGCTGTTTTGGTGGTAGCAGTCTCCCCTCCGTGCAGGTCTGTTTGCTGCTGGGTACTTTTGGTTTATTTAAACTTGGTAACTTGAACGTAAAGAGCAAGTCACCCCCAAATAAACTTTTTTTTTGCTGATAAACTAAATAAACGAGTGTCTAATCGTGCTGCAGACACGTGTAGTCAATAATTTGGCACTTCAGTGCATCTTAGTTAAAATTTAAATATTCTGCCTAAAACTGGCATTGTTGTGCCATTGTCAGGTAAAAACTCTGCACTATATTTGAATTTAAATCTGCCACTGCTATTGGCTAAGAGGTATGCTATGATGTAAACTGGTACATTATGATGTAACAGTGCTGTTGTGAGCCTGTGTGTGTGTGTATTTGTTAGCAGCGCCGCCCTCTCGGTCTGCCAGGCAACAGCATTTATTGCATTTTTCAAACAAGAAGTGGGAGTGGAGTTACTCTGGTAGGGGGTGACTTGCTCTTTAACGTTGGTAAAGCTACTGTTAGCATTTTCGCTAACAGCTTCTTGCGTTTGGATAAGCTGCTACGTTTTGGTTTAGAGTTCATCTTTTTTGTGGTGTAGATCTCCCTTTTATTACATTTAGAGTGTTGTGGGTTTTCGGTTTAGTGTAAAATATCACCTTGAGTTTGGTTTAACCACCCAGTTTAGAGTTTGGACCCTTGGAGATCCTTATTTTGGTCCAGAACCCAGTAATCTTTGCCCAGTGGAACATCCCTACTTATTTGTACTTTTGTTTCAATTCCTCACAGGCAGAATTAGTTTTATTATTCCCAACCTGCGGATGGAAAGATTTATGATTTTTTGTTGTTGTAAATAAACCTGATCATCATTTTAACTTTTAAATCCTGTTATTGTCCCTTCCTTTTTGCACACGAGCCAAACTCCTCAGGAAGGGTCGTAACACCACTCGCCTCACGCACATAAGTGACCAAAACAAAGCAGCATGGAGACACTCCGTCTCCAACCACCTCTCAGGCAGCAGCCTGCACTCCCAAGTTCTCCATGTCACCAGAACATAACCGACCGCAACACAATAAAAGCAGTGTTATGCAAACTGGAAGGCCTGTAGTGTTTATTCTCTTACAGTAACAATTTATCAATTTTTTTGAGGAATTTTTTGGTTTTTATTTTTCTATTGCACAGTTAATAATCATTAGATTGTCTAAATAGTCATTAGAATAGTCAATTATTCACTAAAATAATCGTCAGAATAATCGTTTACCCCCAGCCCTACAGATTAACAAATAAACTTACTTAATAAGGGGTCCAGGGAAGGTCCGCAGTTCAGCCTGATCTGGGGTGTCTTGAAGCATGGTCTAAAGATACAAGAATGAGTAAATGTATTCTTTATTATCATTCTAACAATTAATAAAGTATCGAATAGTGATGAACACAGTAAAGCAACTTCAGAAGTGTTAAATACAGTAATACTTTCATAAAATTACAGTAAAATAAAACCCAAATGTGTTGAAGTGTACCTCCATGTTGTGGATTTCGACCAGAGCGGGCTGTCCAGCTGAGGGGAGATTAGGCAGAACCTGAATCAGATGACCACCAGGGCAAAAGCGGGCACAACGGTGGGGTACGGTGAACTTTTCTGGGGTTGCAGGACGAGGCGGAGCTAAAGAGAATGCAACAGTCACCGCTTTAGTACACCACACTCATATACGAATAAATGAGAAGAAAAATAATAAGATATTCAATCATATTTAAAGTTGAGGGCTGTTCACGTACGCTGCTCAGGGGCAACCCAGGTATTGTCTACGGAGTACTCTGGAGGATACGTGTACTGGCTGTAGTTCTGAGAAGCATCCACCTGATTCGGGTATTGCCCGTAAGAGTAGTCCACAGGCATTGTTGACTGTGTGGTGTCATAAACCGCAGACACCAAATCAGGCTGGCTCCTATACACCTGGCTCTAAAAAAGACCAAATATAAAAATAACCAAAAAGGGCAAATGACACAACTAATATACAAATATTAATCTGGAAAAAAGTGAGGCAAATTACATTTATTGACATTTATATATAACAAAGATATATTAACTTGTGTAAAAACCCTTTGAGAATGAAACTTCTACAGGCTTTAGACATAAACAGTCCTTCCTTGTTTAATTAGTAACTCTCCTATTAATATCAGAACAGCAACATTTGTAGCAAAAACTATTAAAATTTAGATCTGCTATTGTAAAGACAGAATAAAATGCATGTCTGAGTATCCATTCAACAAATGAAACTGCTGATAAAGCTAATGTATAAATATAAAACTTAAATATTTTAGTTAATATTTATAAAAACCAAATAAGAAGATGAGTCACATGTCCTGATTGTAGGAGAATGGATCTCGATGAAGAGACTAATCCAAGTTTGTTGTAGAGTCAAAGATGTTAAGACAGGCATTAAAGGGGAAACTAGTTTTGGCTTGCTTTTAGCACCCTCTAGTGTCCATTTGTAGAATCAAAAGAAAAATCTGCTCACTGCGTCTGTCTTTTTAACACCTTAATTTAATGTTTAAACCAAACTCTGGTACTGACCAGACCAGCCGATGTAGCTAAGCTAAGTAGCATTGCTAACGCTGAGCACAGAAGATAACATAAGAAGAAGAAGAAAGTATAATTTCTATAGCGCCTCTCAAGATAAAAATCACGAGGTGCTTAAAGCTGAAAGCTGAAGCTCCGTCAGTGGTTTTATCAACAATCTGTCACAGCTAGTCTGCGTCTCTTCTCAAAATCCATTCGGGGTACAGTTCTGGCTAATCAACCTTAATGGGCGATGGTGGCACAGGAGTTAAAAGCTTGCCCCGTAATCGGAAGGTTGCTTGCTGGTGGTGGTCAGAGGGACCGGTGGCGCCAGTGCTCGGCAGCCATGCCTCTGTCAGTGCGCCCCAGGGCAGCTGTGGCTACATCGTAGCTCATCCCCACCAGCGTGTGAATGTGTGTGTGAATGGGTGAATGACTGATGCTGTTGTAATGCACCTTGGGGGGTTCCATGATTCTAGAAGGCGTATCAAATACAGACCATTTACCATTCTAACAGCTAAATGTCTCCCCAGCCTTCAATAGTGACTACAGGAGTGATTCATCACTAAAGTAAATAAATCAGATGTGTTCATGACCTAAACGTGCTGGAAACAGACTGCAGCGCCAGGTATGTCGCTCAAGTTTTTCTAAGTCCAACAAACCGGACGGGCAAATGTAAAGCAGCAAATGCAGTTTTCTGGCCACAGGGGGTGACAGGGGCTGGGTGTACTTTCAATAACCCTGTAAAGGTTCATTTTAGCACACACTGGCTCAAAGAAAATTTTAAAATAAAAAAGTATCCTTTAAAAGTGAAGCATTCAACAAGTTAAACAGAACCACAATAACTGGAAAAAAAGATTATATTATTTTGACGGGAAAAGGAGCTCCCTGACAGCAGTACGCTCACTGAAATCTGTCTATGAGTGGCTCCTCAAAGTGGATCTGCGACAAACCTGAACCTGACAAAAAAAAAAAAAAAAAGTTAAGCCAAGATGGGAATGACGGACCTGCTGAGATCGAGAGCTGAAGCTGCTCCGTCGGCTGTGGTGACTGTGGGAGCTGTGCACACTGTGTGCCGACCGCTCGCTGTGCACGCTGCGTCGGTCAAAGTCATCACCATACGCATCTCTTCCACGTTGATTATCATCATCAAAACTGGCGTCATATCCAGGATAGTACCGCCACTGGTCATCATACCCATCTTTCCTGCAAGTGAGAAAACATCTGTAAATAAAACACCACTCTGTGGATATAAATCCATGACACACAGCCACAGTTCCTATAATGTTTCCCATCACAGCTAAATTTACAGTAATGCAGCAAACATTTAATGTTCTAGTTCAGGGGTGTTAAAGATGCGGCCCGCGGGCCAGATCCGGCCCGCAAGCGGGTTAAATCCGGCCCGCGAGACGATTGTGTGAACTTTATTTTCATACTTTACAATGTAGAGTGAAAATAAACGTATCTTTGTGAGCAAGTTTTCTCTGTAATGAGTATAAATAAAACAAAGCTGCGCTCAAGGCTCACACAAGAACTTGAATCACATCCTGAAGTTGGCCGCCACTCGGGATGTGACTTCTGATATTGATGTGCCGGTGAAAGCTAAAAGATGTAAAGTAAAATGAGTCAAATATACTTTAAGTGCTGCATGAAACTGATCTTGCCATGTGATCTGTAAGCTCTTTGAATCACTAAGGAATGTTTTTTTATTGATTGATTTTTTATTTATTTTTTTCAAATTTTCAAGTGCACTTCAGGTGTTGTACTTGTACTACACTGTCCTCAGGCTCCAGTTTTGTTTTATATTGTTTCAATTAAAACAAAGAAAACAATCTGAAGTTTTTTTTTATTTACCGGTCCGGCCCACCTGGGACTAGATTTCCCTCAATGTGGCCCGTGAGCTAAAATGAGTTTGACACCCCTGTTCTAGTTGCTGCACCACTTCAGATGTGAAGAACGTTTTGGGTACATACCTGGTGGGATACACAGGTTGATTATAGTAGCTGTTTCTGTAACTCTCATTGTAATATGCATAGTATGACTGATCATAGTATCCTCTGTATCGTGGGTCGTATTGTCCATAGTTGTATCCTTTAATGACAAAATATTGGGAAAAGTAAGAAAATTCATTAGAATGTTATCTTGCTACATTTAAAAGTAAACCATTCAGACTAGCAATACTGCAGCTCTTACCTCCATAATCATAGTGTTTGGGATAACCTCCGTAATAATCACTGTAGGAACTTCGGTTTGCTTGCTGGTAATCATCGGTGTATCCTTGCCTTTAAGGAAAAGCAGGCACAATAAAATTCAAAGAATAAATAATCAAAAGCATGTTTTAAAGCCCCGATTTCAAGCCAGCACAAAGTAATCCCACTAAATAATTTCCCCTCCAGAGAAGTGAAGGTAATAATGAATTGAAATTTAACAACAGTGAACGATTATTATTTTAAAAATGAAAGTGGGGGGTATAAATGGATCATGTGACCTCTGGCTGCGAGCAAATGCTCCCTCTTTAGAGTGCGATTTTTTTCATGTCCTACTCAAGACTCAAAGAAACCTAGCAGCCTTTGTTCAGAAAAAAAAGAAGTTTTTTGCTTAAATAAAATACCACAATGGTGGGCACAAAGACGAGGCTTCTTTTTAACACTTTAACCGTGTTTAATCCAGCTGTCACTCAACCAAACAACAAATTCAAAATTAAAAAGAAAAATCAAAATTTACCTTCCAGCAAACATGTGCTGCACTTCTATTAAAAAAAAAAATCTGTTTTTGGACTTCTTCTGTGTTGCAAATCAGTACATACATCATGACGTTGCTCAAAGAGTCACATGCACGAATGAATCACCCGTTATTTATTGGACTGATGTTTGGCGATGGGAAAAGTTATACAAATTGCCCAACCCTACTAGGTGCCCGTCTCACAAAAACCATCATTCCAAAAAGGTGCTCTGCTTTTGCACAATCAGCCTTTCCACTCAAAACCATCAAACAGCAAAATCAGCATCCTATCTGTAGGAAACTATCCCGTCATCTGTACACTTTTTCTCAATTTTGCCAACTTGCAAAAACATTTTAACAATAATAATAATAATGCATAGAACTTATATAGCACTTGTTTAGGACACTCAAAGACGCTTGCATGCACTCTCACATTCACACACTGCTTGTGATGGTAAGCTACGTTGTAGCCACAGCCGCTCTGGGGTCGGTCTGACAGGGCTGCCAATTGGCGCCACCAACACAGGCAAGTAGGGTGAAGTGTCTTGCCCAAGGACACGACAGCAGAATACTCCTGGCAGGAGCTGGAATCGATCCCGTGACCCATGATCATGAGGCAACCCGCTCTACCTCCTGAGCTACTGCTGCCCTAGTAATAATCAACAGGGCCAACGTCAGGCAGCTTATGACTAAATATTATTTTGTTCATTTTTGTTTAATGACTTGTACCAGTGATTTTAATTATAAAGTTATCTAGGGTAATTGTCTTTTTTAGCAAAAGTATCTTATATTAAATATGAAGCAATAACAGCAGTATTAGTTTATTATGTTTTGTTTTTTGTTGCGCAGACTTGCTCGTGGACAGCTGATGGAGATTAGCTTTAGCTAACTCTGGTCCAAAGCATCTTTTCTCTTTTCAGATGAATGTTTATGTACACAGACGCTGGAAAATAATCAATAAACACAATTATTATACATCAATTATTTGTTCAAAATAGCTACATATGTCACTGAATACCAGGGGCAGAAGCTAAAATGTTAACTATTCACAAAACTTAATATAAAACGACTAAAACATTAAATGGGGAATGAATGGCTAAAGTTATCAAAAATGTAGACAATTCAGGCTCATCTTCCAGTATTCTACAGTAAAAAAAACACAAACAGTTTTTGAGAGGCTGGAAGTAAAATATTCCATAAAGAAATTGAATGGGCATCATTATTTTATATTGTTCTGCACATTAAATCATGAAGGGTTGACTGACCTTGATGAGGGTCGATCAGAGTACTGACTCGTCCTCGAGCTGGGTCTGTCTGGTTGTGGCTCTCTGTATTGGTAGTTTGGATCATGGTAGCCTTGGGTCTGCCCCTCATATCTGCCATACCAGGGGTCTGCTCTGCCATGGTATGATAAATCCTAATAAAATAAAGCGTTAAAGAGAACACTTTTTTTTTCTCAAAATAGGATTCAAATGAACAAAACAGAAAGATCCAAACCACCTACGTGATAATATGCCTGTGCTCTTGGATCTCCAGGTGGAGGAGGGTACTGGCTTGGAGGATACGGCGCTCTGCTATCTGGGTATTCTCCATAATTCCCATAATAACCACTCTGTCCTGCCACAGGGAGTGATGGGGGTCCATAAGCATGATGGCTGCCTGCTGAGGAAGGTGGTCGAGGTGGCTCTGCTGAAGATGGGTGGGATGCCCCTGGAGGTGCTGGACCTCTCGGCCCCGGTGGGTATGCGGTTGCAGTGGGAGGAGCGCTATCTGCAGCCAGTCCTTGTGCTGGATTTGATAACTGACCAGTAGGAGGTTGTGCTCCACTCACAGGAACAACTGGGGCATCTTTCTGTCCCTGGGGTGCAGCCTGAGAATCTGATGTCTTAGAAGATTCATTCTGGGACCGCTGTGGGTTTGCTGCAGCTTGGGAGGGTGCGGGTGGTACCTGTGGGGTAAATGAAGAAGCTGTGGTCTGGATAGAGGCATTCCCTCCTCTTGCCACCTGCTGAGCATCTTTGGTGACCTGCAGGTAAAACCCATTACTAGAAGGTAATGACTCATGTAGAGAAGAAGGTCGATCAGATGCTTGGCTTCGAGTCTGTGATTGGTGCATAGAAAAATCAAGCAGCTCATAATTTGATGCCTGATTATGATTAGAGACAGAAGCAATCACAATGGAAGAAGAATGTGAATTAATGTGAATGGCAGCTGGGTTATCTTCACTCAGTGCTCTACCTCTTAACAGAGGCGGGTTGACTTGCGGAGGCAGAGACGGGGTTGTGATTTCTGATGTTGGAGCTACAGTTTTGTCTCGAGTCAGATTCAGTGGACCCTGGTTAGCAGTTGAGGAGCTAAAATTTATGGGTCCAGCAGAAAAAAGTGGATTTTGTTTGGAAGGTAGAGAAGGTGATTGAGAGATACTGGCACCCTGTCCCTGTGCAGGTGATCTATCAGGGGGGGTAGCTTCCCTGTGACTACTTTGGGTGGATGATTGAGCGAGGCCACTGGGAGGAATCACACTGTAATTGGATACAGGCGGGGCAATCAAAACAGGCTGATGAAGTGAGCTGGACACGAGGAGAGAGGCGTAGCCCAGGTTGCTCTGAGAGTCGGTTGGCTCTGCATCACTCACCTTTGGTGGGTTCTCTAGATTTTCTAAATGTTGCTGACTGGTTGACTGGATTCTCTGTGGGGGCTGCAGGTCTAGCGGACCATCTTCTGGTGGTTGAATGACATCAGTGCTAGGCTCTCGTAAAGGTGCCAAAACTGTGGGAGCAGCAGGAGCAAGGAGGATGTTAGCACCCAAGCTTGTAGGATCATTCTGAGCCCACAGAGTAGTCGCCGGACTCTCACACGGCCGACTGGCCCCAAAAGCACGAGATGAAGGCCGAGAGTGGGAATGAACTACTGGTTGTGTCAGATGAGGGATTCCACCTCCAGTAGCAGCAGGCTGGGGGTGTCCTGGGCCATAAATATTCTCCATATTATCCGGTGGCTGTTCCAAGTTTCCAGACGTGCAGTCAGTGCCTCTTTCAGCCACCATTTTTGCCCTATCCACCTCAGCTGGACGCACCCCAACCCCATGTGATCGCACAGGTTCAAAGGAGCTGTTAGCACTTGCTTGAAAAATACCAGTTGGTTTTGGAGGGCTAGGTGTGGGTAGCCATATTTGCTCCAGTGGGGTCTGTTGCACACCTGCATCTCCAGCAGGAGAAGTATCAATCTGCTCAAAGTAGCCTCCAGTAGCAGCAGATGGGTTAGCATTTTCGCTGAGACGAGGACTTTCCCGCTGAATAAAGGTGCCTTCGACACCCTTAAGCCGACGAGGGCCAGTTCCACTGTTGTGGCTCAAATTGCTATAATTGGACGACACACTTGCAGATCTCATTGGTCTTGGAACTGAATCTGGAGTCTCTAAGTTTGGCCCACTTTCAAACTGGTCCACTTCATGGGGTGCTGCAGCAGCAGCAGCACTGCCTTGAGTATCGCTGGGTAATACTTCCTGATTTGGGACACACTCCAAATTCTCCACATGGTCAAATTGAGCCTCAGGCGACTTCTGGGCATTTTCCTGTGAAAGGTGACTGCTTTCATTCATGTAGGGAAAGAGTGAGTTATCTTGAACAGAAACTCCTTGGTAATTTAAAGGAACATTTGCGTGGCGACTGTGGGCTTGTGGACTGCTGTGATGCTGAAAAGACCCTGAGACACCATTTAATGCTTTACTCCTCTCACTACAGAGGGTTTCCTCATTTTCCACGTCATCTTTGAAGAACATGGAGAGTGCACCTGAGTCCTGAGGATAAGGATCTGAGGCAGAAGCAGAACCAGTCCCAGGTCTGACACCAGCTCCATTCCCAGTGTTGGACACATGTTGAGATCCAGCCAAGTCTGCATGTGGCTGAGGATGGTTTGAGTCAGTCCCCATTTGGTGGTAGCCTGAGTCCTGTCGAGGTGGAGGTTGATTTAACCATAATTCCTGTGGTGCAGAGCTTTGATTGAAATAACTGTGAGTCTGTAAATGTGAATTGTGTTGCTGGGACCCATGTGGGTCAGACCACATAGGGTTAGAGGGTATTACAGGGTTTTGAAGGGGAAGATGGGCTTGATTCTGAGGAAGTCCAAGTTGACTGGCAGGTGTGGGGGTGTTGTGATGGGGTGACTGGCTGTGGGAAGCATTTCTTTGAGTCTGTGAAGCTATATTTACAGGCTGTGTTGGAGGATCACTAGTTGGTTGGAAATAATTCTGAACTGATGGAGGGCGACTCGAATGATCAGGGACCCAATGGGCAGAGGCGGGAGGAAGTGGCTGAAAGGGCACAGAATGTGGAAGAGGCTGTCCTTGAAATTCCTGGTTAGGAGGTTTAACATTGGCTGTTGGTGCCATATGTGGTGACTCTGTGGACATGGCTGGTGCCTGGTCTCTTGAATTAAAATAATCCTGTTCACTAGTAGAGGATGCATATCCTGTGGGACTTGGTGCTGAGAAAACACCAGAGGATGCTGAACTGTGGAGGTTATATAATGTCACCGCTGGTAGAGAGGATGGTGGGGGGCCAGTTGGGACACCTTCTAATATTTGTGGTTGTGGAGGAAGGCCGGAACCAAGCTGAGAGTACATGGTGTTTGATGGAGTCTGCAGTTGAGGTGGGTTACTGTTTGGTATAGGTGGAAAACCACCTGCAGCCACAGGGGGCTGACCTCTACCAAAAGCAAAAGGATCGGTCATGGGTAGAGTAGGAGGAGGCATTGTGGTAGTTGCTGCTGCTGCTGCATGTTTTTGAGGCCTGGTCCTGCGGAACATATTAGGTCCTGAAGGTGGAGGCCCAGAAGCTCCTGGAGGTCCAGCCCGAGGAGGGGGCTGCATTTCTGCAGAACCAACAGGCCCGGGGAACAGACCACTCTAAAATACGTCACCGAGGAGAGTGAAGTCAGATGTAGCTGGAAAAAAGGCCAGAAAAGAGGGAGTGGTTTACAGAAGCTGCATATCCTTTTGATAAAAATAACCACACCTTTGTTTGTGTAGAAAGCACAACGTGGCAGTGTGTGCATTAGCTTAAAGATGTTGTCACACCACATATCTTCTTTTTCCTAAACTAAATATAAATGTGTTAGAATTATTTGCTGCTCATTCAATATAATTTTATAACCAAACTATGTTTGGATAGAATTTGTCAACAAACACTAGAAAAATACTACCAATTAAAAAAATTGATTGCAGGTTAAGCAATTCATCAAATTATTGAAACACATCTTAAACATTATATAAAAATCTCTCTGAAAAACATTCTTTTTGTCCCTGGAAACAGAATATGTTGCATAAACTATTATAAGTTATCAAATTTCGCTCATTTCACCCACAAAACCTATTAAAGAGGTAAAATGATTACAAAAATAGGAACACTTAGGGGGCTTTAGAGTTTTCTATAGTTGTCATGTAATTTAAAAGTACAGTATTCAATCTCCAAAATTTGTATATGATAGGACTGGAACAGTGTTGCCATTACATTATTGATTTTGGCTAGACCACTTTAGCTGAGAAGGGTTTTCTATCTCAAATGCTCCAGTCTGCCAGTGATTAAATTATTTTGAAAGGAAAATTCAAAGCAATCCAAATCAACATCCCGTCGGGCTTCTAATTGCTGGTACCTCTATCAGCAAACAAACCAATAATTAGTGGAAGAAAAATAATTAGTTTTAAGTAGTTTTAGTATACATTCACACACGCACGCACGCACACACACACACACAATGTACGTCTGCTGCACTTAAAAACACAATTATAACAAACAGCAATGTGTATGCTTCTGTGCATCTTGATTATTCCCTGTTGATATCGCGTTATTCGTCAGTTACAATCACTGTTAATCTGTTAGTTGGGAACTCAGGGTCTGAAATACAAGAGAAAAGGTCTGAGATCATTCATGCAACCGAGTAATAAATGTACCAGGAGACCCTTCAACCTGGCAACCAAACGAAAGCGATGTCGACATTAACTTGCAGAAGGCAAAAAGTTTGACGTTTATCCGTGACTTTACACCCGTAACATCTTGTTATATAACTTCAAATCACTCTCCTTAGTCTGGCTCGACATTACCTTACTGTTATACACTTAGCAGCCAGAGAGGAAGGGTCCAGAGTGCTCAGCAGCTAACGGGAACGCTACATTGCGTTACATATTCTCAAAGCTACAAATAGCATAACAGACGACTTAGGTGAGCAGATTTAACACGAAGTCACCCAGGAGAAAAAAATGTAGTTTTGTTTTTGTAGTAACTTGATAAGGAGGAACATACACCGGAGGTTACAAGCGTCTTTTGTCACTCGTCGACCGTTTTAAAAAAGGTTCACTGCCTGGTCAGCTAGCTTTAGCATTACTGCTTAGTTAGCACTGCGAGCTAACTAGCTTGCGCTAAACATATTGTAACAGTTAAAAACCTTTTAAAGACATTAAATTAGAACATTCATAGTAAAACATTGCTATTTGTGCTTTACATTTACTCTTACCCTACGTCGGAAATGTATACAGATAAAAATATATCCTTACAAGTATGCCGGACAGTGAGTATGACACACTGCCACCATCTTTACTGAACTCATCCTACTAGGCTACGTGTACAAGCACCGTCACGCACACAACGACTACGTTGTAAAGGGGGCGGGGCTTTATAAAGCCCCTGCTAAAATGTGTCTTCTGCATCCTTTATAAAGGTTGAAGCATCATGCGTAATCGTCAGAGAGCTACGAGGATCGCTGCTGAGACCAAGAGCACGTTATGTCTCAGAGACCACTGTTAACCCCTTTGTTGTATTCCATGAATGCAGATGGAAGAATAAATTGACTGGTGCCACAGCTGAGCAGTCTCCAGCGTGATTCCTTTACGATTAAAATAAGTCACCAAAGACATAGGTCACATTGGTGCCGTGACTTGTCCAGAGCATTGCCGGACCGGACTGGTGGCTTCTGATCATCTTTTCTCTGGAGCTTCGTTGTACCCTTTGCCAGTCAAGAAGTAGTGGAACGGAGCATATTGGGTGTTCTTATAAGCTTGTGTGGTGGTATTATTGTTTGTGTGCTATTATTTTTTTGCCAATATGAGCTTCAGTAATTTTGGGCCCCCAAACATGACTCCTTTTGGTGTTGGTAGAGGACGAGGTAGAGGGTTGTTTACCTCCCCGTTCCGTTTTCCCTCAGTGACCAGAAGGTGGGTGCTACATCTTTTCATGTTGATGACTCTTTTGTGAATGGGAAAAGGGCTGCACCCAGTGGTCAGCCTGATTCTGTGTTACTGCCCCCTCGGGGTTCTAGCACATTAATCCCAGAAACCCATACTGTTAATGTTGGGGTGATTGACCAGATGAACAATATTGTCCAGCACATGGGGCAGCAACTAGCTGAAAGCATTATGTTTCGCATTAACTCAAACAGTCCCTCATTAACCACATACGCACATTCCCCAAATCAATGTGTTAAAGACAGTTCTCCATCTCAGTGCAATTCAGTTGACCTCTCCCGAGTCAAGCTACTCACCCAGACCCCTGTGAGAGACCCACCAGTTTTCAGAGGGGAGAATTCTGATACACTGACTGTTGCTGAGTGGGAGGACTCAATGAGGAGCTACATTAAAAAGGGTGCTGTGCAGTGTGACCAGCAGACTGAGGAGATTCTGATCCACCTCAGAGGCTGAGCGAGGGATGTAGTGAAATGTGGAATAAGGAATGGTGGGATTGATGTCCAACAAAACCCACAGGCGATTTATTGACCCTTTGCACCGACGTCACCTAAACACATGGGTCCACCATGCTGGACGGCAAAAGCATGTAAACAGTAAGCGAGACGAGTACTAAACAAAGGGGAAAGTAGAGCCTCAAATTGTTTTCGCGATCAAAACAAAAACAAAACTCCTCCAGCATTCCTTCAACTAGTTCATGCCCAGTTCAGTTATCAGAAGAAGTAGCACATCTAGCGGGGGCTTACCAACGTTAGCTTACATTCTCTCTGCAGCTGGTCACCAATGTAATCAATCAATCAATCAATCAATCAATCAATCAATCAATCAATCAATCAATCAATCAACCAATCAATCAATCAATCAACCAATCAATCAATCAATCAATCAATCAATCAATCAATCAATCAATCAATCAATCAAAGATACTTTTTTAATCCCAGAGGGAAATTAGAGTTTCAGTGCAAGTCTGCAAAAAAACACCTCAGACAGACAGATATGCAACAGACTTCAGACAACACAACATAAGTGTCCACTAGGTGGGGTGGTAGGTTGGGACTATCCCCACTTCAGTTCCTGCAGCCACAATGAAGCAGCGCATGTCACCTCAGTGTGGAGGCGGGGGGCATTGAGGGTTGGAGGGTTGCAGTGACCCTAGACGCTTCAGCGGCCTTCCCGCAGTCCCGCCCAGGCTGGGAAAGGAGACAGAGTTGAGTTGCCATAGCGACGGCACATTCCACATATCTTCTGAGGGGGGAGTTTTCATTTCCCACTTTATTACAAGGACACCAGATTCCAATTAGAAATTGTTTTGGGGCCAGACAAAGATAATTTCCTCTCTGTCTTACAGTTTGTTGGTTCTCAACCTCTCAGAATCCCTATAATGGACGTTAATCTATCCCAATCCATGTTGATTTGTCCACTCTCTCCTTGATGGCATCCATCTTTTGTGCCAATGAATGAATCTTGACCAAAGTCCCAAGCTTACGATTAATCTCGACAATTATTTGAGTCTGTGAATTCACAGTGCGGTGCAAACCATCTCTGAGCTCCGGGATCAGGCCAATATTCCTCGACAGCTCGTTAATTTTCCGGTAAGCCAGGTAGCCTCCAAGGCCAATGAGCAGGAAACCTGACACCAACACCACAAATATCCACACGTATTCAGAGTCCTCCACAGACAGCTGAGAAAGACAGATCAAGTTCCACTGTTTCCAGGAGTCCTGGGTCTGTACCGGCAGGACATCTGGGAGCCCCTTCTCCCGTTCTCATCGTTGAAAAATTTTTACCAATCGCGTTGAGGGACCAGCTGACAAGATCGATTTAGGTGTATTTCAGTTTCCAGAAAAATGCAGAAGCAGCCATGCACCCAGCACACAGAGACAGACAAAGGCCTTGAGGATAAGATATGGAGGAGAGGAGGAAAAAAACGTCTGCACTCGCCAAGAGCCGGAAGAAGAAATGCATGTTGCTGACTTTGCTTAAATTCACCCCGCTGGATTTATAACATTATGTTATAAACAGCGTTTCACTTTACACCAAAGCTGATTGTTAAAAAGTCTGGATCCCTTGTTGATGGTGGTGTTACCGGGTTCAGCTGCTGCTCTCACACCGGAATGAGAAGATCTCTGAACGGCGACGCTCATATAAATAAATAAATAACGTAATTTTAACACACGTAATCATACATCAGAGCTTTAATATTGTTAATAATTATCTCGCTTTACACTACAGTGGACGGCGCGCATCAACCGTGGTGAAATACCCATTCATCAGGATTATCAATAACTAGTATAAACACATCACATTTATCCCTGTCCCTGTCTTCCTTGTGAAATAAATGAACGTTAATCTTACCTGGTAAAAACATGTTCGCTGCAAATCTGAGGCCTGCTAGTCCGCTTGATGCGGCAGTTCATCTCCGTCCTCAGTCTCCATCAAAGTTATTAAAAAAACAAAACTAGTTGAGTTTACATCCTTGTTTGTTAGTGCAGTCAACCACGCAGCAAGCTAAAACCATTTTACTATCTAATCAACTAAATAAAAGCGATAAAAGGCTACAAACTGGCTTGTTTTGACTAGCTTCACTGGAGTTTCAATGGGTGTAAACGGTCTTTTTGTCATCCATCATGGTGAAGGGGGCGGTCACATGAGTGGCGTGACGTCACATGCAAAGGGTCAATACACTCCTGCGCAAACACTTTGGCCCCAGTCGGTGCTCCTCCTCCTTGCTGATTTTTTCTCTACCTTACCAAGAGACAATGAAGACCCATTTGAATATTGGCTGAGGCTTAATGGAGCTGCAGACTCTGCCATTAGCTGCCTTAAAGAACAAGGTAAAACATTTGACAATCCCAGCACCAAAGTCACTTGCATGTTCATTAGACACTGCCCGAGCAATGATCTTGCCCTCACCTTCAGATCAAAAACTATTGATAAGTGGTCTGCACGAGATGTACAAGAGGTCTTGGATGAATACCACCTGGAGACCTGAGTCTTTATAAACCTTTCATTCCTGTTTATCTACAATCAAATAAGGTGTTTTAGGTTTGTTCACCATTAAATTTCAAGGTGTTCCTTATCAGTTACAAACCCAAGTGCTTGTTTTGTGTTTTGTCTTTTATGTTAAGCCTCTGCCAATTTTTGCTTCTCCAGTTAAAATTCATGCTAATGGTAAAACTGTCCAGTTTAAAGACATAAATTTAGTTATTTCCTGTTTAAAGTAATACTTTGAGGCATCATCTGGAATAAGTTTGGTAAATTGTGATATGAACATTTCACTGTTGAAAGGTAGTTTATTTGAAAGAGCCACAGTGCCATCCAGTGGTTAATGAGTGAAATACATGTGGGTGTGACCAAGAAAGTTTATAAACCAGAGTTCAGACTTCGTGGTGACAGAGAAAAAGAACAAAGGACACCTTAAGCACAAAATCCCTGCGGGCTGTTTCCATCTGGCCTAGCAGAACTCGGCACTTTACAGTTGTCAAGTAATTAGCTCTCAAAAGTCACGGTAAAATCTTAGAAGCAACTCCGTTTGTTTTGTTTTGACTTTCTACATGAAACTGGAAGTCTGCATGTTTGGTTGAGTTCTCACATTAAGAGTGAAACCCAATTTGGAACAGTTTCTCTTATTCAATCTCGTTTTGGATAATTTGGACTCGCAATCTGAATTCCATGTTTGGTGTAGCTGGAGAAACCGAAAAATCAAGCCACGACTGAGGATTACTATATCCTCCCATTTCCACCACCGACTTTGACCGACCAGGGAGCCACCATTTAATCCAAAAGGCCACAAGCCAGGAGCCCAGGCTGTTGGAGCTGCTGGCCACCCTTCCGGTGATGGAAAGCAGGTCTGTGAGCTTTTCTATCTGGCTGGTTTTCTGCCATAAGCCGATTCGTGAATTCAGATCATTACATTTCTTTTCTGGCGTGTTTATTTCGATCTAAATTCACGTTTAGCTCTGAAGATTTATCCTCTTTGCTCTGCCAACTCTCATTTGCATCCACTCACCCACAGGAGCACACACCCCCTCTTGCTTTCCTACACACACACACACACACACACACACACACACACACACACACACACACACACACACACACACACACACACACACACACACACACACACACACACACACACACACACACACACACACACACACACACACACACACACACACACACAACCCCACTGTCACTTTGCTCCCTTTTCGAAATCATTCCCCATTTTACTATAATCTTGGTGTCACCAAATTCCCACTTTATTACAAATCAGTTATTCCATATCACTGCCATAAAGCTTTGGGTTAACAATTGTCTTAATTCCATGCATGAAACGATAAGCTGTGTTTGGTCCCTTTGTCCATGCCTTAACTGATGTTTGTAATAAACTCACAAA